ACATGGAGACCGTAATATGCATACAGCTAATGATCGTGAATTATTCAATGCATACAGTTTAAAATCACTTACAAAGTTTGTTGTAATAATAAAGGTAGAAAGATAGATTTAATATTCTCCGCTTTTGAACACTATTAATCTAATTTAAAAAAGAAGAAAAGAAAGACTAGTTGTAATAAATGATTTAATAGTGAACCATAAACCACGTTTTAAACCTTATTAAAAAGAAAATTAACATTAAATACCGCAGGGTATATTATTTATAGCAAGTCTGTTTAAGTTATACACATGAAGAGGTCTGATTTCCTTGCCGAATGAAAAACGTTACCTGTTTACCTGGCCTGTTTTCTAATACGTATTACGCAATACCCATGGTATACTCGAACAAAACAACATTTTCATTAGATCAAAAAGGTGTAAAAGAACAATTTTGTTCCCAAGATCCAGATCGAAATATTTACCGTTTTTGAGTTATAAAGCAAAACCTTTTAAGGACCCAAGATCCCTAATCATAGGGGCCAGCCCCTTTTAAATAGTATGATGTGAAAGCCCTTGCAATTATGCACAACTTTTGTTCTACATGTCTTAACAAAATATTTCTAGTTTTCAAGATATAAAGGAAAATATGTCAAATTTTTTGCTGTTTTCCGCGTTCTAACTTTTGATCCCTCTCTAGCGCCATTTTTAATGCAAAAATCAAAAAACAAAAACCGATGTGCACAACTTCAATGCTTCCTCTTTTCAATTTCAAAGCGTTTTGTGCTCCAATTATAACCATTTCTGAGCCTTTGTCTGGAAATTGGAGGCATGCTAAATTCAATCAAAGGGGAATAACTCGTGAACAGAAGGTAATTTCCGAATTGTATTACGGTATTCTGACAGTGTTTTGTAAAGTCTAAAAGCTCTGAAAATTTGAACAAAATCTGTTTAAAAATGAGGAAGATATGAAGCGTCAAAGTTGGCGTCTAGGAAAAAAAAAAAAAGAATAGTAAGAATAATCTTAATCATCACAATCAGTAGAAGGTCTTCCGTTGGAAACGGAAGACCTTAATAAGAATAATCTTAATCATCACAATCAGTAGAAGGTCTTCCGTTGGAAACGGAAGACCTTAATAATAATCTTAACCATCAGAATCAGTAGAAGGTCTTCCGTTGTGACGGAAGACCTTAATAAATGAATGAATAAATAAGTCAATAAAATAAATTCTCCAAAATTGTTCTAAGAAAGACGATGCATGCACATAAAGTTTTTAATCACACGATTTTTATCGCATTAAAACATTGCAATTGTTGCCGAACGCTGAAGTATAAAAGATATTGTTTTTAGTTGGAAAATAAAAATGTTTATTCTTATTTGATAACAAATCAGAGAAAACTTATGATTTATAAAATGAATTAAAGCGGTTGTAACTTATATTCATATATATATCTCCGTGTCAAGGCGATTTCGTGTAAAGTAATGAAAAAAAAAATTAATTACAAAGGTCAGTGGACGTTTTGCATTCATACGCTCGTATTTTAAATTTTTAATACAATAATATATTATGTGTCATTTCTATTTTTCATGATGATTTATTGAGCAGACTTCTACACGTATCTCTAGATGGTCGTGATTATACTCGGACAAGATGATACAAAGATACATTATTCATATTATTTGTTATAAATTCAATTTTCAGAACTTGATATTTAAGTAATATGGTGTTATAGTTTTTATTAAACAGACAAATGAGAGAGAGAGAGAGAGAGAGAGAGAGAGAGAGAGAATAATATTCAGTTTTAGCCCCCCCCCCTCCTTTCAGGCTTCACCAAATGTTTGTACCTATATCAAACAAAAACTCTGAATTTTTTTTCTAAATATATCAGACAGTGAAAGTAACTCTTTTTTTTTATCAACAAATCATATTCATTTGTTTGACAGTCATACTCGTTTTTATTTTCCTGCTTCAAGTTCACACGAAGTCCACGTGCTTGTCCTGTCAATCAAAATCATTCGACAGTGTGCAGGTGTGAAAGTTTCGTCACATCGAAGACGAAGTGCGAGTATTTCCAACAAGTTATAACATTTATTTTTTATCATTTCTAGATTTGATTCCAACATTTGAATAATAAATTAGTAAAATACATTGGGCATTAACACTTGAATGTGAAACATACTTTCTGCCAATTTCAAATACCACCGCCGACACGTGTACATTTTGATCTACTATTGTTTTGAGACTTTTTTTAGATGCATGTTTGTTTTGAGACTGAAATTTTTGTTCTAAAAAAGACCGTAGCTTTTTTTTTTAAATGTTAATTAAAATATTCTGGAAATACGGTACTGACTAAGTAACCGATTTAGGGGGAAGGGGGGGGGGGGTATTAATCATATCGAATGGCAAACATATAAAATTACGGTGAAGAAAGATTTTTTTCTCAATAACTATAGACTTTACATATTACAGTAGAGAAATTCTGCAGTGCATTACATTTTAAATAAATATTTCCTTTAACCACACTATCAATTTAATTCGTTCTAAAGATAATAAATTAACAGGATATCCGCAGTACTATGTATAACTCTCAGAACTAGTTCTATTATATTTTCTGTAGTAATTGAAAAAAACGTATTAGAAATAAATATTTTCGTAATTTTGCTGCGTAATTATTTGACTTGAATAATTATATCTCCATTAACGATTTGTCGCCTTTAACAGAACAACAAAATGTTGCAGTGCTTGAAGTATTTGCACATTGCCCTTAGTTAAATTTAATATTTCAGCATCGTTCTACATAGGTACAGAATGTGCTTGTAACAACATTTATTTTCCAGAGTAATTTAATAAATAACCTAACAGCTAAGTTAGAATAATAAAAATATATATCGTAGATATTTTTCCTCATGAAATAATTATTCTTCAAACACGATATGTTAGTTAATAAATTTAAAAAACCTGTAACTCCTTAACTACAAAAAGATAAGTCCTTTCACTTCGGAGTTCCGAATGACAATGAAAACTGAACGATAAGTGAACGCTGAACGCAAGGTGAACGCAAAGTGAACGGAACGAAGAGCGAACGCTGAACGCTTTGTGAACGGTGAACGCGAGCGCACGGTGAACGGTGAACGCAAAACTGTGAACGGAGAGCGCACGGTGAACGAACGGTGAACGCACGCTAACGAACGGTGAACGAACGGTGAGCGAACGGAAAATGGGAAAGTAGAACGTTTCAGGGACTGTAAAAACGTGCCGTTGAGTTTGAAAAATAAAAACATTTCACACGTTAAAGATTATAAACAGGCAAATATAAAATATAAATAGGTCACAAATGTAAATATAAGTAATAAGGTATCATTTTAAAACATCTATCGGGCTATAAATACGGGTTGTACGAGATCAAATTTATCATAAAGCCCTTCGGGCTTTATAGAATTTGATTTCGTGACCAACCCGTATTTATATCCCGATAGATGTTTAAAAATGATACCTTATTTCTTAAATACTATAACAAATTACAGTAATTTTATAAACTTTCCAATAATATCTACATTTAAAGCATAATTACAAAACTTGATTACTTTACACCAAAATATTGTAGTTTTTTTATATGATGTACAACATTATATTCAGTTTCGTCAAGATTTTCTATTCTACAAAACATTTTGTATTTATATATTTTTAATGCAATAGAGGAAATAAAACTGTTCAGAAAGTATGTTTTCTGGTTACGTTCAAAATAAAAACCGATAACAATGTCTTTAAATTCCATTGAATATTAATTTTAAACACAGTTGAAGCTACATCCCATATATATTTAACATTTCTACATGCAAAAATAAGATGGTGCATGTCTTCTACAACAGAGCAAAGAGAACATGTCTATGGTATCCAAAGTTTTCCACTTTACCATATATTTCTTATAACAAAGTAAATTGTGCAATAATTTGTAATTGAATTCCGCAATGTTTTTATCTATAGCCAGTTTAATCTTTTGCTGATAAATAGATTTCCACATTTTTTGACTAACATTGAACATTTCCCCAAGTAGTCGCCGATGTTTTGGCGGAATAACTTTTTTTACTGAGAAGGATATCATAGAAAAATTTACATTTCTTGCTTCAGCCCTACAATAATTTCCATGAAAATTAAAATACCTTTTGTTCTTTATGTAAATAAATTTATGTTGATCTTCACCTTTTTCTCTAATATATTTAAAAATTGTCTTGATCAGTTTATATTCACACAATAAATTTGACTTTTTTTTTTTTAATTTCTTCTCCTATATTTTTGATGGTTTTAAATCCACCATCTGAAAAGAGATCTTTTATATATTTTATATTTTTAACCCAATTTTTAAAGAATACCGTTTTTCCCTTATACAAAAAGAGTCTATTATTCCAGATCGGTTCTTGTAAAATTTCGTTAATACTCATTTTCTTTATATCGGGAAGTTTTTTACAATGATTAAAATAGATAAAAGATTTCTTTATAGAACAAAGGCAGTCTTTTAAAAGAGTCAAAGTCGTTCAAACTAGTACTGTTGGTTTTTAATATATATTCAAAATTTACATTATACATGTACACCCCTAATAATTTGTCAAGGTGGGATAGCATAGAGTTGTGATTATCATTATTCATGAGTCTTGATATCCAAGCAGATTTTAATGCTTGGAACTTGGTAAGTATATCTACTACTCCAATCCCCCTTCTTCTATTTTGCCAATTAATGTATTTCGCTTAATTCTGTCTCTAGAATCTCAAAGGAAGTTGAAAATGAATTTACTTATTTTTTTTAGTTCGTTTTCTCGCGAAATAGGTAAGATAGACGCAACATAGATAAATTTACTCATACCTAAACTGTTTATGATTTCAGTCTATGCAAAGACTATAATGGCATGTAGTTAATTAAAAAAAAATTATCCCAGCATGTGCTACTCATCGTACGGAATATTAGCATAGATTGCTATGTCAGGAGGTCGAATTATTTTAGGGTTGAACTAATAGACAACCGGAAAGATGGCGGCAGGTTCGCCAAAAAACAAGAAGCTCAGGCTTCAAAACAAGTATGACAGTTCCCCAGAATGGGAAACTGTCTTCAATTTAGCATCAACTCAATCAGTTTATCCAGCGTTTGCTATTCTGCAGCTTGGTCCGGACTGTAATGCGAATACGAGTGCATTCTTTACAGATGCCAGGTGTGACTTCAGAAAGGTGGGTCCAACAGGGAGCACTTCTCTCTATATGATCGACTTCTATGATGTCTTCACAAAAGGCTTCGATCTATTGTTAGATCTAAAAGGTCAATCACGGGAACTTAATGAGGACAAGCAGAGAGCGGTTGACATACTTGATGATTATTTTAAAGAGAAAGGTAACTTTTTGTCCCAACTAATGAAACTATTGAGATTTCCTGTTATTTTTTAAATAGAGTAAATCCTTGAATTTTGTTCGATTTTGTCTTGAGTTTTTATATGGCGCAAACTTGCTCAGGATTTATTTTCAGATATTTCATTGATATTATCATTCTTAACACATTATATCAAAAGAAGGAGTCTGAGCAGGCCTGCGCTTCATATTTTACAGTCAAAAAATTGACACAAAATACAGTATTTATACCCCCCGCAAACGAAGTTTAGGGGGGTATATTGGAATCAGCTTGTCCGTCTGTCTGTCCGTCTGTCTGTCTGTCCGTCTGTCTGTAGACGAGATTTTGTCCAGACCATTTCTTGGAAACTGTTGTAAGGATTTGTCTGAAAATTTGTACACTTATTATTTGCCATTTGAAGGTGTGCACCTGGTATTTTCATCGTGATTGGATAATTTTTTTGCATTTTACAGGTGTTTTTTTCATTTTTATTATGTGGTTTTGTCTGGATCTGTTCTCAGAGACTATTGCATAGATTTGTATGAAAATTTGTACACTTATTATTTACCATATGAAGATGTGCACCTGGTATTTTCAACATTATTTGATAATTTTTCTGCATTTTAAGTTTTTTTTTTTCATTTTTATTGACTTAGTCATTTCGGGTTCATGTCTAAGGTTTGAGACATAGAATCTAGAACATCTGTACAAAAATGTGAACTACAGCTTAAAACAACTCATTGAACTAAAAAAAAAAGATCACAAAGTATTAAAAACAGTTTTTACATTACACAGCAGATAGTGTAAATCCATTTGTCCCTTGGGAGTAATGAGTGGACATGCATCCAGTTAAAGATTAATTAACAAGTTCAGTGTGGGAAGCTGTTAGGGCATCTCTGATCAAGCAGGTCTTATCTATATCTCCTGGGAATTGGGCAGAAAGAAATAAAAATCTCTGTTGTCTAAGTCTCTTAATTGTAATTTATGTCTGTCAAAATACATAGTTACTGGAACCAGCCTTTTATTTTTAAAATGAGTTTGATATAAAGGTATTAAGATCAATTTGATTTTGTATAATTAATTATGATAATTTTTTTTTAACAACCAATTTGCAGAGTGTCATGACTCACAAAGAATGACAGATAGTTGCAAACTATTTTTTCAATGTAATAAAAAACACTGTAATTATTAGTATTGATGTTTTATTAGGCTGCACCTTAGTTTCATTCATTAAAAAAATATAATGAGTAATTAAATTTTCACTCTAAATGTTTAAGCAAATTGTGAACACCTCTCACATCTTGAAAACATTAGGGATTTGGTACCTTCTCTGAAAAACCCAGCGGGGGGTATTTGTCCCTTTTGGACAGTTCTAGTTTCTTTTGAAATCATTGACACATTTAATTAACATCATTATCTGACCTCTTACTAACCTTATGACATCACAGTCAGATAAAATGCTTAATGTTTTGAAGTCTGCATAATTTATATCCTCCTGGCTTAAAACATACTCTCAGATTTCCCCATCAAAGTTTGATTTTGGGGGACAGATATGGGCCATTACCAAATTTTGTCCTTTCACAAGCAAATTTTTTCATGTCTTAATTGAAATCCTCATTTTACTTATTTCAGAAAGTCATGAACAAAGCCTTAGTAATGTTTTAGGAGGATATGAGTCGACAGAGGAGAGGAGTCAGGAAATGGATGAATTAACCATTGCTCTGGCTGAACACTTATTGAGGAGACTAGCACCAGGACAGTCTTGTGTAATTAACAAGCAATTAAAAGTGAAAGTAGAGGAAGAGAAATGTCAGTGTGGATTGGATCATTGTAACAGCACACCTGTGTTTGAGAGCACAGGAATAGGTACATTAAAGTTTGTTTTAAATTTATGGCTGCGCAGTTTCATTCCGTGTTCATTCACTTTGTCTAAAAGAGAAAATACTTGTTGGCATGTATGTAATAATTAGATTTATGAAATTAAATCTAGTCTTGAACTATAAGTATGTGTAAATTACTAAATTAAATCATTACTGTAAGTTTATTAACAAAAGTATAATATTCTACTGACACTTTTACAAGGTGCACCTTGGTCAGAATACTTTAAAAAAATGGTTACAAGCAGCATCAGTTTCTGTCTTTTGTTGTGTCTTTTTTTATTGTGCTTAAAAAATGTCAACCAGGAAATTGAAAAAAAAAATAACTAGCAAGTTTGAAAATACACTGTGTCCATAATCATGTGTGATAGTAAGTAACTTAGATGATGATTATATTTTTAAATAGAAGTTGAGGTGTACAGCTGTATATAAAATTTTAGAAAATTCCTAATCTTTGCTATGTTCACTATATACATTGGTTAATGTTTTGAAAATTTTCTCTGTGTTTTTTTTTTTCAGGAGATGAAGCAGCATGGCATGGTTTTCCTGATATTATGTGCTCGTCACAATCAGTAGCTGTTGTATCTGGATATGAATCACATGGTATATTGAAATTTTTAAAAAAATCAAACAATGAAGGAATCTTTCACACATTTTTGAAGATATATGAAATACACATATTTTTTTTTTAAAAGAGAAATAATGAATTATGACTAAATCTTGTCTAGCAGTGTATGGTTCTTGAGTGTGTTTTTGTATGTGTGAGGATTTGGGGGGGGGGGGGGGTTGAGGGGATATAGCAACATTAATTGATATAATTTTTCTCTGGTTGTTGGAATGTCTACTTACAAAGTGTACATGTACATCTCCAACAAATATTAAAGACAAATGTAAACTCCTTCCCACTAAGTCAAGTATTATATACAGTGAAGTATTCAAGTTAGAAATAATTCCCATGTCGGAAGAATTGTTGGAGAATATACCCCAATAGTCCAGAGATTTTATTAGCAAATAAAAACTGAGCCCAAAGGGTGAGGTTTTTCATTTGCCAACAAAATCTCAAGACAGAGGAGTATATTTTCCAATAATTCCGATAACAAGGGAATTATTTCTATTCTGCTATAATGGTGAATTTTCAAACTCCTATATAGAGAAAGGGAGAAGCTAGATGTTGATGTTAACATAAGTGCCTTATTACATCACAATTGAATGCTACTTCTCTTTAATTTGCACTTCTTTCATAAGAAAAAGTATGAGGTAATCCGAATCCTAAGTAAACTTCTTTTTCACACTAATTTACGTCACTATCAAAAGGTGCCTTGATCCTCTTTCTAGTAAAAGCAGTCAAAAGGTAACTGATTTAAAGTTAAATTGATAATTTGCTGATGACGTTTGTGATTTATTGGAGAATAATGGTCGTGACTTTCCTTTGATCTTTGCAATGATAACCATAGTAGAATTTGGGATACATTGTATATATTACCGAGTTCATTTAATGTGTTTGTCTTCATCTTACCTTTGAATTAGATGTAGTTGTTTAATATCTAAAATCTTTTTTAGTTGATGAAAAAGAAGATTTCTCGGAAGAAGAAAAGACATTTTGTAAAACGAGAGTAAACAGCAGTCGAGGAGCTGAAAATCAAGTCATTTCCCAGACCATTGTTTTTTCATTCATCCAGAGGAAACTTTATCCACATTTACAAAACTTTCTGATACCAAACCTGTTGATTTCCCCGTATCATTACAGGATTTTGATGTATGACTCTCTCAATGATATTCTAATCTGTAGTGTGAAACTCCCAATCTTCCACGACAAGGATAAACCCAGAAGACTGAACATTGCATCTGTGGTTTTCTTGTGGATGGTTTTGCACTACAGATTATTTTGTGTTGGAATTAATGTGAAAGAAATACTGGAAAATGGATCTATAAAAGACATCAGAGAAATTCAGTCAAAGTTTCCAGACAGGGCTGGAGAAAAATTACCTCTGTATGAAGACTGTTCTAGAATTGGTATCTCTAAGTTTCCTCCTGTTTTTGAGGAAGATCTTCCCTCTTTTGACAATTTTCTGTATGGTAAAAGATTGTTTAAGTCTCGAAGATTATTACATGCTTTGAATAACAAACAAAGCTAAAGTATGTACAATGTGTATTGTTTTGTTTTTTTGTTTTTTTTCCATTAGATAAAATCAAAACTTAACTGTAAGAATATTGAGCATGTTGAAGAAGTTACTTTGTAAAATTCTGTTAACAAACATTATAATCATGTGTTTACAAGTTTTCTTGATTTCCAGTATTTATGCCCCCCTTCGAAGAAGGGAGGGCATATTGCTTTGCTACTGTCTGTCCGTCAGTCTATCGGTCCATCAACAGTTTCCTTTCATTTTCTTTGCAGAGGTTGCACATACTGAAATGAAATTTGGTACACAGATTTATCATAAAAATATCTAGGTCAACTTCTGTTTTGGGTACAATAGAGCAATTTTTGACAGAGTTATGCCCCTTTGACATAGAAAAATTCCAATTTTTAAGGGGGGGGGGGGGCATAAGTGTTTCACAAACATCTCTTGTTAGTTTTAAAACTAATGTCTGTCTCAAACACAAGTGTGAGAGAAATTGAAGAAGGTTTATAAGATTTTGAAAGTATAAATTGATTATTTTCTAAATTCTAAAATAAATCTACAATTTGGTGATTGAGCTAGGCAACACAACTGACAAGTGTACCTTTTCCTTTTGTATTGCATTATCAATAACCTTAAATTTTTTATTTGATGAAAATGATCTGAAGAATGAGGGGGAAAATTGCAAATTTCATCTCCTCATGCCAGTTTATAACCAGAGAATAAAAAAAGTTGTTCAATCAATAGGTATTCCACAATAGGTGTTCAAACCATTAACAAGCTTAAGTGCCAATTAATTAAAAAAAAAACGGAAAAAAATTATGACAAGATCCAAGGAAATATTTAATATTTCAGAACTCCAATAATCATTTATTTAACTAATTTATTTTACGTTCTGTATACGTTCTGTATAATTTTATATTAAGTAATAACTAAAAATTCATGGTGACAATCTTTTTTATGCCCCCCCCCCCCCCCCGGTTGTATGTTCGTTCGCCCTAAAACTTGTTCGTTCGCCCTTGACGCCGTTCGCCCTAATTCTGGTTCGCCCAGAGTCCGTTCGCCCTAAAACTTGTTCGCCCAGGGTCCGTTCGGCCTCTTTATATTGCAGATAGTTGAATAATGAGCCAATGGATTTTCTTCAATACGTTATGGTGTTTCTACATTACATGCAAAATATCAGCCAAATCTGTGATGTACCATTTCCAACTTTTTTCTAAATTCTTTGATGCTTACAGAGAATGACTCTTAACGTCTCAGTTCTTTAATTGTTTTCAAAACATACCGCGGATTATTAAAAAAACACGGATATGATCCCCTAAATTGCAGTGACATTATTAAGTATATTTAAACCAATTAAGCATGAAAAAAGCATTAATATCAAATTTGAATAGTTTAATAAAGAACAAATTAACTGGGGGAAAATAGAAAAAAAACACGAAGTCGTAAAATATTGAATAAAATAAAACATAAATGATGATAAATAATAACATTAACTATATACTGTATATATATATATATGTATATATATATATATATATATATATATATATATATATATATATATATATATATATATATATATATATATATATATATATATATATATTACGGCGAACGAGAAATAGGGCGAACCAGAATGAGGGCGAACGGATCCTGCGCGAACGGACTCATGCGAACAGGTAGATAGGGCGAACGGACCCGATACCCCCCCCCCCCCCCCAACCATAATAGTGTTACCCTGTTCCGCGTTGTTCCGTCATTCTGTCATCATTGACTTTTCGTTCCAGGGCTCAACATTAACTTTAAAATTAACTAGACCATTCGGACTATTACATGAAAATTCTACTAGACCTGACCTCAATTTCACTAGATCTGACCTAATCTTCGTGGTTTACTGCAATAATATTAAAACCTGAAGAATATTATCACGAAGAAAAAAAACCCATAGTCAAATAACATCGTCAGTATAAGTAAATTGATGCTTATCATAAGTTGGTTTTGCTGCATAGAAAAAAAGAAAGAAAGAAAATGAACATCTTTATTATAAATTCAAGAAAATATCAGAAAGGGAAATGTATTTAGTTCTATGAGTGGTTTAATAAAATCACACCATGCAACAATTGTAAATGACCTAGCAGGAAGGGAAAATCTTGGTAGACTAAGCAATAAGCATTTAAGAGAAATTCAAAATTGCAGCAGGATTTATGAAATATTTTGGATACGTCATGGGAATACGCAGGTCAAGTTCGAATATGGTCCATGGTTCGATGTTTTTTGACATAGTTATCCCTCTTGAACTTAGAAAAAAAAACTTAGATGTGTTGTAACTCCACGAATGCCCCCAAAGGCAGCCAAAACTTCAATTGCCATATTTAGTTTTAAATTTGTATTCAAACTTGACCTGTATTTTCTGGTGAAATACCTGCATATGCAATTTCAACCTTAAACAAGTTAGAGAGCGGAAACTGAAAAAGTTCTTTTTTTTTCTAAGTTCAAAAGGGATAACCCTGTTAAAAATCATCGAACCAGAACCATATTTGAACTAGTGTGACTGTCCTCCCCCCATCATGCTCATGAAATAGTTGTTTCAGTTATATTTTAAATGAGCCTAACACATTTTTAGTTGCATGTACTGAACATGAATGATTCAATAATAAACTTTACATTACGCGTCATTTGATACACAGTAAGAAATTTCAGGTTAGAGGAAGTTCGTTGATTACTTGTGTGTGTGTGGGGGGGGGGGGGCTCCGATATGTTACAGTTTCTGTGGATCCCTGCAAGAAATTTCTGGATCTGCGCTAGAGACGTGAAACATCCTATCATCTGCATAAATACTGACATCTGAGTGCTTCATACATTTATAGAATATAATCATTAACAAATAAAGAACAGAGGGCCCACCATTGACCCCTGTGGCACTTTTTTCATTATATAGACAAACACTTTTCCATGTAACACATTTCAATCTTCCGCTAAGACAAGAAAAGAATTTTTACTAACCGTATAGCAATTTTGTTGTAAGTGGGTTATATATAATGCATATCTAAATTGTTTAAATTAATGCTCCATAATTTCCCCATACTAGTATATTAAAAGGTTCCTCATAGAAAATGATTTTCAAGAAAAGTACTTTTTATAATTGTATATTCTCTCGAAAACTTTATTTCAATCATTGTAAGATATGTTTTCCCTTTGAATTGTTAAATTAACTTTTTAATCAGTTAGAAGAAAAAAGGGGGAATCACATGCATATGACTAGTATTAAAAAAGAGAAAGAATTAAATGAAATGATTTCCTTCAAATGCGCCTTATATATGTATCATTCATATGCTATTTACACCACTTAGACGTCTCATATTTAGCCTTTTCAAGAAAATACTGACTATAAAAAACAAACAAACAAAAAAAAAAGACTACGGATAAAAATATGCAACATTTTTCAAATTAATATCGTTGACAACTTGGTACCTATAAACCTATGTAGAAGATCCAACATCAAGATGGCTGCATTCACACTAACAGGGAAAAATATATAGATTTCGTGATTTTTCCTAATATATTTCATGTTTATTTCTCAACAGCGCCTCTAAACACAACAGCATTTAATTATATAGATATCATTTTGTGGAGAAGTTAGTTATTTAAGTGTCTGACCTATCTAGGTTCTGAGCATAAAAATACAAGTCTTGTACGTAAACCAATGGTCGGAGAGACGTCATGATGAAAAATGGTGTGCTCACGGTCAATCTGATTAAAATCAGATCTTTGTTACGCTCCGAAATTCTGATGGTCGCTGTACAAAGTGATTTTCAGAATTTCGGAGCGTAACAAAGATCTGATTTAATTAAATCAGATTGGCTCACGATAAAATATTAAAAACTATAGATCTAGATATACGTTTATTTGGCTTAAAGTCTTAAAAAATACTTTTGAAATGTGTATAATATAAAATATAATTGTAGGGACACCCTGCAACAGACGCAAAATCAGACGGGGGCCCCGGTCAACCCCTTAAAAAGAGAAATTAGGAAGAGCTTTATTGTGATACTTCCCCTAAGCTTTCTAACAGGAGTCCAGGATTTTCTGTTTAATTGCAAGACTTTTCACAAAAATGTTGTTTTAGTCAGTAAAACAGATTTTTTCAAATGAAGAATTTTACGACAATGAATTCAAGTGACGTACCCGAGGAAACCTGTACATGTAAATATTTTTCTTCACCGGCGATATAGCTAGGAGTGGGGTAAGGGGGGGGGGGCAGTGGCATAGCCAGGCAAAAATGATGTGGATGCTTTTTTGACGACAGGGAGGTCTGGGATTCAGTGAATACATAAGCCCCCATTCCCTCTCTCAACAGCGGATCCAGGCAGTAGAAACCCTGGAAGCTTTTCACAAAAATTACAGTATTTAGGGTTGTTGGAATGGGTATATATATGAAGAAACATATGTAATACAAACAAATTATCTTTGAACAATGAAACAATTTCATTGAAAATTTGAAATACATTCTTTCTTTAAAAGAAATTTGCATATTTTATTATAATAATATTTAAATTTAATTACCTTTTTGAGGGGGGAGGGATAATGTGGATGTTTTGGCATATTACATTTAGCATACATGTACCAGCCTTATATAAGGAAAAGCAGCATACATGTATTTAAGTACTTCGACATCGAGATGTAGTAGACTAAAATCGAGATAAATTCATATCCTCTATATTTATCTGTTTTTTTTTTTGTTTTTTTTTTTTTTATTTAAACACATTCATTGATTTTTGAATATGGTTTTTTTTTTTTTTTTTTTTTTTTTTTTTTTTGATGATTTTCTGTTTTTATCAGGGACCTATATATACTAAGTATTTAGGTCCCTGGTTTTTATCAGGATTTTTTTTTTTCGTGTCGAGTTTAAGAAGTAATTGCATGGTGCCGAAATTAATGCATATAATATATAATGTGAACATTGCATTCCAGTGGCGGATCCAGAAGTCCACGGGGGGGGGGGGGGGGTTGAGGCCCGTAGGGCCGAAGGTTGAGGGCATGGGAGGAGATGTCCCCCTGCCAAAAGTGGGGGGGGGGGGTCTGGGCGCCTCCCCCGAGAAAATTTCTTTAAAAATGGCTCCAAATGGTGCATTTTCCAGCATTTTAGATTGAATTAGTTAGTTTTTGGCCACTTTTTTCCTAGTTGTTTTTCAAGACCGACCTACCCAAATTTTCAAGAAATTGAACAAAAAATTAAAATTTTGGGATTATTTTTAACTTCCATGTTAACTTGAAAAATGAGACTTTTCTAGAGAAAAAATTAAATGTAAAATCTGATAAAATTAGAAATATCGCCATTTGCTATATAATATCCAATTTTCATTTTAAAATGCACTTCCAACACACCGTCGCATGTGAAGCTTTGTCTACCAAAATACAACTGCATGATGTGCAATTTTCCAACACTTAGAACATTCGAATTCTGTGTAGAAACTCTAATTACTCTTTTCAACTACTTGACTATACTGTTCATATAATTTGTAATATATACACGTAATATTTCATATTGAAGAATAAATATAGATTATTTTGGAAAATAATTGGAATTATTGCTTATTCATTGGGGGGGGGGGTTAATTATAATTTCTAACATAAATGCACTCTTTAATTCTATTTTTTTTATCCACTTACCTGCCCAATGTTTGAAAATAAAGTTTTGAAAAACAATCAATAAAAGAGTGGCAAATTCTTGTTTTGACAGGACCTCTAATTTATACGTATTAGTTTTACCACAATTCATTATACAAAGTTGTAACCGTTAGTTGGGTTTTATTCAACATCATTCAACTGTAATTTAAAAAAAAAATGCAGATCTTTTGCTTTTTAAAATTGCATTGTAATTTCCATCTACAAAAGGAATACTTTCAATGTGCTTTTTGGTACAGGTCACAACGTATTTCAACTAGTATACGTCCCTGATGTATTAATTAATTTTTTTTTTCTATTAAATAATAATCACAGTTTAATTACGTAGTTCAATAAAGTAACATTCAATTATCGAAGAAAGAAGAAAATTCTCGAAACAATATTTCTTTAGCCAAAACAAAACCGTAATAACTATGTGCAGTTTTGGTTGTTAGTGTATGACGTTGCGTTATCACTAGCTGCACGGACTATCATGATCTCTGCATGTACAGTAGGCCTACTGTTGATTACCTGTATATTGTGTGCGCTCAAGCGGAAAGGGATTTCGCATGGTGACTTCTTTGTGTTAAATAATGGGCTTGGATAGAGTCGCATTTATAAAATATATGGTTAAAATGACACTTGTAAAAAATTTTTTTTGATAGGGCGGGGTTTTTTTCCCGAACCCCCCCAAGCCCCCCTGAATCCGCCACTGCATTCGACGCATTCGAAAAAAAAAAATTAAGTCGGGCTCGAAAGTACTGTTTGACAGAAAGAGCAAAATGGCGGTTGTAGAACAAAAAAGATCAAACATGTTTATATAATTATTTTTCGCGTTTGGCTCCAAAATTAAAGGAACATAAATGTTAAAGGTAGGTCTTTGAAATGAAACCGTAGTTTATTTAAAAGGGAATATAGAACAGTAATTTCTTTGGAAGTGACATTTTGAACTATGACTCACGGAAGAGTCAGTTGAACGATGTCTAATTATCTCTAGTATCTTTTGCTTTTCCTGATTATCACATGATTAGTCATTCAAGTTTTATATGTTATGTACCACTAGAAATACAATATGTTTTGAATAAATTGATTCTCATGATACATTGGTTCACGAGACCTGAACAAAATTAATTTTTTTCATTGTTTATACATGTATGTAGCACACCTGTGTACACTTATGCATGTATTTCACTATTTTTCTTCTTGAAAATAATGCATTAATCAAATAAGATAGGAAGCTAGCTTAGATAAAATGTAAATAGCAGATTGGATGCAATAGTTTACTTGGTATGCTTGGTGGATCTATTTTTTTGTCTTTGAATATTTATTCTCTTGAACAGGTCTGATACAATCACTAGATTTAGCTATGTAGCTTGTATGACCTACATAGCTTTATTTACCTACCTGAAGTAGCTTTATTTAGCTACTAAATCAAACTTATTTCTTAAGGAGGCTCATTACACCCACATTTTATTTAAGATTTCATTACAGCACCACTTATAATGTAGATGTTAGATATCCAAATGGAGGTTGTGATATCATAAATATTTTTAGTGAATTTTTAAACTTTTTTCTGATTTTAGTAAAATATTTTATTTCAAGTTAATTATTAATAGAATTGCAGAAATTTCAGTGTCAGATGATGGACATCTTCTTTAGACATGTACACAAAATGACAATACTTCATAATATTTAATATTATTTTTATTAGAAAAAATAGTTTTCTCCAAAAAAAACAATGAATGCCATTTTCTTCTTAATTTGTGCTTCAATAATTTGGAAAATGAGTTCTAAAGAGACAATGAATGTATTTCAATGAATTACGTGTGGCAAATTGAATGAAGAATGTTTTAACGAAATGAAAATTCCAATTTAACAAATATTTGGAATAAAAAGTCCACTTGCAAGAGTTATCTTTCCTAATTACCCAAGACTCAAAACACAAAGGAACGTTTGAACATTACATCTAAAGATCAGAATAAAGCTTTAAATTTCTCGAGTATATAATAAAAACAATGAAAACAAGTATATAAATCAACACGAGTACAATAAATAGTGCAAGTAAATTATTTTTTTATTTCAACAAGGTTGTAGAATTTAACTCGAATTTCCTCCATACATACATGTTGTCATTGATAGAGCTCACACCGCTTTCGCTATGACATTGTACATTACTTGTTTAGCGATGATTTGGCTGTTGTTTTCTTTGGTTTCTACTTAAAAACAATCTTTCTTCGTGTATACATGATGAATCCGTTACTTTGTTTTCACTGTTTACAACATCACATGTTAAGTCTATTTTTAAAGCGTTTTAAAGATCTGGTCACATTATAAGGGAACCTGTAGAATTCGTCCCCAGAGGAAAACGGACCAAACAATGGAGGTTTATTTTTTGTGTAGTACGTCATCAAAAAGTGGTGTAATGAGCCTCCTTAAATTGGTATTTTTCCCAGAAAGTGCAGAAAATTGCACTATGATGCAATGATAATTTTCAACTTTGAACTCATCTGAAAACAATTCATGAAAAAATCACTCTTGGAGATGCGTCTTTTTCTGCGCAATTGCAATCAAAGTTCTAAAAGTTCTGGGGCCTTATACAACAGTTAATTTGTGATCCAACAGTTATTTCTTAAGTGACATAACAAAGAAAACCAGTTTTGGTTAACATGAGCACAATGAGAAGTAATCATACTTATCCACGCCTCATCACACACAAGGAGTGCACAGTTACTCAAACAATGGAAATACGTACTTTCCTCAAAAGTGTTCAAAGGCAGCAATGTTAAAACTATCTCTGCTTCAGATTGCTTTTTAAACAATACCTAGAATAAATATTAATAGACATTTACTTGCGACTTTTTGTCTTTTTAAAATAAGAAGCAAAATTGTGAAAAAGTTGCCTTGAAATAGCTAAATAAAGCTACCTGAGGAAGGTAAATAAAGCTACGGTAGGTAATTTTAGCTACATAGCTAAATGTACTGATTGTACTGGACCTGTTGAAAATATGAAACATAAAATCACATGACTATAGAAAAGGAGTTTTAACTGAAATGCACTAATAATAATTTTGAGTTTCCAGACTTAAAAAAAAATCTATCAAGAGAGAGAGAAAAAAAATAGCAGGGTGAATAGGAGATGATTACATGATTTGGGAATAAATAATTGAACCTTTTATTAACAATGACAACACATTTTCATTGGGAGGTTGTAACAGTATACATTATTTCTAACCGTATATAGATGTTGTAATGCGTCTGGGATCAATCGTGAGATACAGATAGGGATGAGATAGTGATGGGTACTCATGGTGGAAGTGTGGACTACATTTTCGACAGCTTCCTCAAGGCCGGAACCTGTAAGTCCATTCTCGGCTCATTCCATCAGCTCTGTGAGGTCCTCGAACTAAAACACACCAACCATCGACTGTTCTACCGTCGTCTCAGTAACCAGCTGACATCATGGAAAGCTCAGACTGTGTGGGTGAAGCTAAACAAGAGAATGGCTCAGAAAGAATACAAGAAAGGGGAAGCATGTGCCAACACAAGGGTAAGTTAGACAAGGGTTATGGGTGGCTCAGAAAGAATACAAGAAAGGGGAAGCCTGTGCCAACACGAGGGTACCGTAAGTTAGACAAGGGTTATGGGTGGCTCAGAAAGAATACAAGAAAGGGGAAGCGTGTGCCAACATGAGGGTAAGTTAGACAAGGGTTATGCGTGACTCAGAAAGAATACAAGAAAGGGGAAGCCTGTGCCAACACGAGAGTACCGTAAGTTAGACAAGGGTTATGGGTGGCTCAGAAAGAATACAAGAAAGGGGAAGCCTGTGCCAACACGAGGGTACCGTAAGTTAGACAAGGGTTATGGGTGGCTCAGAAAGAATACAAGAAAGGGGAAGCGTGTGCCAACACGAGGGTAAGTTAGACAAGGGTTATGGGTGACTCAGAAAGAATACAAGAAAGGGGAAGCCTGTGCCAACACGAGGGTAATTTAGACAAGGGTTATGGGTGACTCAGAAAGAATACAAGAAAGGGGAAGCCTGTGCCAACACGAGGGTAAGTTAGACAAGGGTTATGGGTGACTCAGAAAGAATACAAGAAAGGGGAAGCCTGTGCCAACATGAGGGTAAGTTAGACAAGGGTTTTGGGTGACTCAGAAAGAATACAAGAAAGGGGAAGCCTGTGCCAACATGAGGGTAAGTTAGACAAGGGTTATGGGTGACTCAGAAAGAATACAAGAAAGGGGAAGCCTGTGCCAACACGAGGGTAAGTTAGACAAGGGTTATGGGTGACTCAGAAAGAATACAAGAAAGGGGAAGCCTGTGCCAACACGAGGGTAAGTTAGACAAGGGTTATGGGTGACTCGGAAAGAGTACAAGAAAGGGGAAGCCTGTGCCAACATGAGGGTAAGTTAGACAAGGGTTATGGGCAACTCGGTACAGGAAAGGGGTGGGGGTGAGCATGAGCTAATGGAAGTGCAAGTTAGACCAGATTTAAAGATGACTCACTACAAGAAGTCAGGGAAGCTCATGCCTATAGATGGGTAATTTTGACCAGAAGCTGACTTGATTTAAGAAAAGGGCCGGGGGGGGGGGGGGGGCAAACAAGGATAAGTTAATGTTTATAGCTGACCCACTACAAGAAAGGTAAAATCTATAGTGTACCAACACTAGTTTTAACAACATAAGTTTGACCAGGGATACAGCTGACTAACTACAAGTGGTTTGAACTTTTCTTTAACATTTACCTTGTTTACATTAGTAAATGTTTTGGCATGTAAGTTGATGTATGATTATTGAATCTTTATATAATGCAGTTATAGTCAATGTATCTTTTTGATGCATTGGATTTAAAGCAATGTAAATTTTATTTAAAGAATTAGATATAATGTTTTTGTAGTAAACTAGACTAAGAATAGATGATGGTTTGTTTATCAAGAAATCTTTTGTTAAAATTGGATGTTATTATAGAGTCTTTGAAATCAGTAGTCCTGAAAATAAAGTTCATCATGTTTAAATTTTTGAAAAGCTAGAAAAATGTACTTTGTAATAATTTGATATATAGTTTCTTTGTAATCTTGAATTTGTACATACAATTGACAGGTCCTGGAGATTTGGTCCGGTCCTTGTGGTCTGAGGGCGGCTGTTATAGTCAGTAATTGTGACTTTTTCTGTATTTACTATTTCAGGTCCTGGTGATTGGGTCCGGTCCTTGTGGTCTGCGGACAGCTATAGAAGCGGCTTTCCTTGGCTGTAAGGTGGTGCTGGTTGAGAAGCGGGACAGTTTCTCACGGAACAATGTCCTACATCTCTGGCCGTACCTCATCACTGACCTAAAGAATCTGGGGGCCAAAAAGTTTTTTGGAAAATTTTGTGCTGGTGCTATTGACCATATAAGTGAGTTGAAGAATTTATGGCACATTCACTGCACTTTTGTTGGTGTTTTAATAAAAATGTATGAAGACTGGGAAAAAATTTGATAAATGCAGCATAATTTGCTGTTCCATGTTTAAAATATTAGATTTCCTATGAACTAGATGTAAAACGTACATTTAGCTAGTCGTGAAGAACTTTCAGTTTTCATTTCCTTGATCTCTCCTTAATAGTCTGTTAAGTTTTACTCATGAAAATAAGGAAGATCATATAATACCATTTATACATTAGTATCATAAGGAAAATAAGAGTTTTCTGTTCTATCTTATTCATCATCATGATCATACCATCTTAAAAACTAGCTTCACAAAATCCTGTGCATTTTCTATGTTTAGCAAATTAAAAGTAAATTTGAATTTACTTAAGGAAAATATACGTAATTGATCCAACAAAAATGTTTTAGAAAATAACAGTACTGTACATGTACAATAGATGTTCCTAAAAATAGAATAATTTCTGAATGCAAAATTGGTTCAAGTCTTACTCTTTGCAAACATTTATCTTGGAGTTAAGATTGGTAAATTAAATTCAAATTAGACAATATGCTTTTGTGTGCTATTTTTTACATGTATGTCCATGTGAGTAGAGCTTCAGTATCATCAGAGACTTCTGGTTATTTCAGGCATTCGACAGTTACAATGTATACTGATGAAGGTGGCGCTACTGGTCGGAGTGGAAATTCACGTCAATGTTAGTTTTGATGGACTGATTGAACCAACAGAGGAGAAGCCTGGTGGTAAATTTACAATCATTTATCATAAGTAAAGATAATAAATTGAGATATTAATGTAACCTTTATAGCTTCTAAACTGTATGTGTGGAACTTCAGTATCTTTTATTTGTGTATGGATTCATTATCCTTGATTAAAATCTGGCATACTTATAGGGCAGGGACGATACATCTTCTATATGGATATGTATCACTATATTTGTGCCATGACATGATACATGATATCACGATTTTTTTAATCATAAAATTTTCATTTTGTATTGATATAAATTATATATTAATATTTCTTCACGAATAAGATTAATTTATTTATAGAAGCTGTATATCTGTGTAAAACAAAATTATTTATTTTTTATAATAACAAAGTGGTGTTAATTATTATGAATTTCATATTTATAAACATATTTATTTTATATATGAAACCCAAAATGTTCAGTATTAAAACAAGGAAAAATTTTGATGCATTGTTCCAGCCCTAAATGATTTTCTAAAAAATTTTTAGTGACTTTATGCAGAATATACCCAATCATACAAATTTACTCAATTTTTGCAGTAGGATGGCGGTGTGCCTGTACCCCAAGTGATCATGTAGTTTCGGAATATGAGTTTGACGTTTTGATTGGTGCTGATGGAAAAAGGAACACACTTCAAGGCAAGTACACAACTATTTCAGTTCATATTTTTATTTTGATAAATTAAGTTTTGCTTGTTAAGTAAAATTAGGGCTATCCTGGTTCCCTGAAATAACCGAAAACCACAGTCCAAGTTGTTCTGTTCAGTTTTGGTTCCAATTTTTCCCATTTTTTGTTAAATTTCAATTTGTGAAATTTTAAAGATAGATAACTCTTACTGCCAGGGTTCTTTTCTGTTTAGTATAACATGAATAAAGCTTTTCAGATACCAGTATGTTTAAAATAATGGATAGTGAAGTATAAATAACCTGAATGAGTTACTTAAGAAAAATAAAATCAGGGAAAGATAACCCAAAATAATGACATTTGATAACTTAAGGGCTATTCCAGGAAAAAAAATGTATGGGAGGGTTGGATGGCATTTCATATATTTTTTTATAGGTAGTGGGGCTAGAGCAATTAAATTTGCATGGGTGGTTGTCCTCATCCGATATATTTTTAGATAGGTGGTTGTATTTACCCTCACAAATAATCAACTGTACTATTTATTTCAGCTGTAGCAGAAAAGGCACAAAGTTTTTATTTGGTTGTATGAAAAGTATTTTTAATTTAATGGGGGGTGGGGGAGAAGGTAATTGAAAATGTATGGGTGGTGGGGTAAAATCAAAAGTGCCTTCCAACACCCCCTGGAATAGCCCTAAACAAATTATTTCAATAAATTGTTTCCATCATGCCCCTGATTGATCAGAAATGGATGGAATAAATATCGCACTGAGCGAGAGTGGTCTATAGTAGTCCTAAACACCAGATGTAACATGGTCAGGGATTGCTTTTAAAGGGGAATTTAATGTAATAAATAAAGATTTTTTCAAGTTCAATTCATGAAATTAAATAATATATGGAAAGAACAGATTAAAAAAAACCTGAAACTAAAATTAAAATTTACTGAACCGACCCTAAAAGCTTTGGAACAGTGACAATTCTAAATAAGATGATTTGTTTATTTGTGCAGTTATGTTTGTACACAATTGTAAATCTTGGAATGTTTGTAGGTTTCAGAAGGAAGGAGTTCCGTGGAAAATTAGCCATAGCAATAACAGCAAACTTCATCAACCGCAACACGACAGAGGAGGCTAAAGTGGAGGAAATCAGTGGTGTGGCTTTTATCTTTAATCAGAAGTTCTTCAAGGACCTGAACGAAAAAACAGGAATCAATCTGGAAAACATTGTGTATTACAAAGACGACACTCACTATTTTGTAATGACCGCAAAAAAGAACAGTTTACTGGACAAAGGTGTATTACGAGAGGACAGGACAGACACGGCTCTATTGTTGTCACCGGATAATATTGACAGGGATGCTTTACTGGATTACGCAAAAGAGGCGGCAAATTTCTCCACTAACTTTGCTTTGCCAAATTTAGAATATGCGATTAATCATTACGGACAACCAGATGTGGCCATGTTTGATTTTACTTCCATGTTTGCAGCTATGAATGCTTCCAGAGTTGTCGATAGAAATGGCCACAAGCTTTTAATTGGACTTGTTGGAGACAGTTTGTTAGAGGTAACTTTTGTATATTTCTTTGTAATATTGTAATCAGCTTCACTAAAAAAGTGCTTCTCTACTCACAAACCCTTCATCTAACATGCTATAAGAAGTTTGGATAATTACTATTTTGTGAGTAATGATTAAATTAATTTATACTGGTAGAGCATTCAACATGTTTTATGCAAAAGAAGGGTAATTTACAAATCTCCATTGAGGGTGTTTTTTGTTTATTAATAAATATTAGAGAGGTTGACGTACACGTACACATTGTTTGAAATTTGTCTGTTGAGATTCAATGACGCGTAACATGAATGTGTAGACTGTAATCGGAGTCTTTGTTTCAACTATTTTGTAGTTACGTGAAATTAGTTTGACTTAAGTTAGTGGGCAAAACATGGTTAAAATAAGTGTTCATGAAACTCAACATCCTAAATAATTAACAACAATAACAGTTTCACACATAAATTGACTAGTTTTTACTGAAAAATCTACAAGTTTACACCTACGTGTAGATGCCTTTTTACAAGTCGTAGGAACGTGTAGAAAACTTATCAACACCTAAACAAGAAATTTAGGGAATTCCCCTACTAGACGTACACGTACACGTATGGAATCTCAACCTCTCTGTTATAAGGAATGAAAGACTTGTGTAAGCAGTGATTCATGAGAAAACGGAATAATCATTTTATAAATAGCTTTAAGTATGTTAAGTACATGTAGTAAAATTTTAAATTGTCACTTGCTTTTATCAGTGATGCAGTTTATAAACATTTTATTTATAGTTAAGTATAAAGCTCATACGCCATAAAAAACAAATCCCAGCTGATTCGTAAATGATTTGTAGGTAGAAAAGCATACCAAAAACACTTGTCTAGCAAATTATTATATTAACCGAAATAAATCATGCAAGATAAATTTGTTGTGTATTCTCACACAATTAACCTGTCAAGTGTACAAAACAAATTCTTTATATTTCAGCCATTTTGGCCCACAGGATCGGGCTGTGCTCGTGGATTCCTGGGTGGATTCGATGCTGCCTGGATGATTCGGAGCTGGGCTTCGGGGAAAATGACGCCACTCCAGGTCATAGCCGAGAGAGAAAGCATCTATCAGCTCTTGTCACAAACTACACCAGAAAACCTCAGCAAGAATTACAGTGAATACACAATTGACCCAAACACAAGGTATGAAGGAATATGGAATATCATTGATAAAACCAGGCACAGAATTAACTTTACTTTCTTTTTATCAGAATTTTTGATTAGTATTTGATTTATAAAATTCTAAAAAAATTTGAATCCCCCCCCCCAACTAAAATGTAAAAGAAATTTTCTCCTACACAGTTAAGACAGATACTCTGTTTCTGTTGAATTCAGCTCATCTGCTTTCTTGTATAAAGTAAATGTTAAGCTGACCCAACGTCCTAGATCCAATGTTAAATTTAATATGCATGAATTGTTTTCTTAATGATCAATACAATGTTGTAAAACTTAAATGTGTACCCAGAGAAGCCTTTTTTTTTCATGTATTGACACTATACTGTATATCTTGATTATTAGGTACCCTAACCTCAATACAAAGTTACTCCGCATTGAACAAGTGAGACATTTATACGACTGTGGAGATCGATCGTATGAAGATGAAATCCTTGATTTACCAGCCAAACGTCCCAGAAGTGGTATATACATGTATTTGTTGACATGAAAGAAAATTCCCTTTTGTTCTATTTCAGTGCTTTTTTCCCAATTGAATTGGTACCGGACCCATTCCCAATGAGTAGAAAAAAAAAAAATTGCTGTTAAAAATTTTTTACGACTGGATCCTTTTTGAACTGTCATTTTCAAATTTAAAATTTTTAGGTATGACCATATATCTAGTGAGTAAACTTACAATATAATGGTAAGTTTACTCACTAGATATATGGTCATTAATTTTTTTGTATTCCAGAAGAGTTGATAGACAGCTATACCTTGTTACACTGGTGCCAGCGTGTCCTAAATAACAAGTTCCGTAACGTCCACATCATTGACCTGACCACGTCCTGGAGGAGTGGACTCGCCCTGTGTGCCTTAATACACACCTTTAAACCTAGTCTTATGTAAGTTTACAGCCTTTATACACACCTTTAAACCTATTCTTATGTAAGTCTTTCTTCATCTCTTAGATTTTTCTTTTTAGCTCACCTGAGCTGAAAGCTCAAGTGAGCTTTTCTGAACACCCGATGTCCGTCTGCCCGTCCATCTGTAAACTTTTTACATTTTCAACTTCTTCTCAAGAACCACTGGGCCAATTTTAACCAAAGTTGGTACAAAGCATTGAATTTCTTTGGTAAAGGGGAATTTAAATTATTAAAATGAAGGACCAAACCCCCTTACAAGGGGAGATAATCAAGAAAAGACAAAAGTAGGGTGGGGTCATTAAAAAAATCTTCTCAAGAACCACTTGGCCAGGAAAACTGAAACTTATGTGGAAGATTCTGGAGTAGTGTAGATTCTGAATTGTTAAAATCATGACCCCTGGGGGTAGGGTGGGGCCACAATAGGGAATTCAAGCTTTACATTGAAATATATAGGAAAAATCTTTTAAAAGCTTCTCCTCAAGAACCGTTGGGCCAGAAAAGCTGAAACTTATGTGGAAGCATCCTGGGGTCACAATAGGTTTTACATGGGGTGAGATCTGGTGAAGAACAGCAGGGCCAAAGTTTCAGAATAATTAAGAATCAATATTTAGGATTATCCCATTAATTTATAACGGCACTATAAATGTACATCTGCTACTTTTAACTGTAGATTTAAAGTGTTGTAACAAAAGAAAGTATCTGCTATGATGATAATTAACTGTAATATGATATTTTCAGAGAGTTTAACTCCTTGTCGTCATTAGACGTGGCTAAAAATAACCAGTTGGCGTTTGATGTGGCCCACACAGAGCTGGGTATCAGTCCAGTGATGACCGGTCAGGAGATGTCCACCTGCTCCTGTCCTGACAAACTGACCATGGTCAGCTATCTGTCCGAGTTCTACCACAAGTTCCACAAAGAAAGGAATCCAAGTGGTATGTTGTTTTATTTGTTTTATCATGTTAATTATTTAATAACTTTTTTTTTGCAAAGTTACACAACCCTCATTTTTGACAGTCAACTATTGATCTCCCTGTCTTAACCCCTCCTCCATATTCCAAAAGTAAGTGTAAGACCCCCCCCCTCCCCTCCCCCCCCCCCCCCCCCCCCAAAAAAAAATCAAAGAGAGGAGTGGATGATTTTATCTTTTACATTTATAGATAAGGACATAAAAGCCAGTCACTCTTAATTAACCTTCACATTATAATGAATTAATGAATGAAAACAATAATTGTATAAACACCAGAGTGTCTAATGATGTTTCAGTGGAGTCCCCTGTCCGAAGGGAAAGCCATAAATCTCCTCTACACAGAACTCTTCTACAGAAAATCCGCAGTAGTGCCAAATTCTCCAGATCTAAGAGGGTAAGTTGTACAGTAGTGTCAAATTCTCCAGATCAAAGAGGGTAAGTTGTACAGTAGTGCCAAATTCTCCAGATCTAAGAGGGTAAGTTATACAGTTGTGTTAAATTCTCCAGATCTAAGAGGGTAGGTTGTACAGTAGTGCCAAATTCTCCAGATCTAAGAGGGTAAGTTGTACAGTAGTGTCAAATTCTCCAGATCTAAAAGGGTAAGTTGTACAGTAGTGTCATATTCTCCAGATCTAAAAGGGTAAGTTATACAGTGGTGCCAAATTCTCCAGATCTAAGAGGGTAAGTTATACAGTAGTGTCAAATTCTCCAGAACTAAGAGGGTAAGTTGTACAGTAGTGTCAAATTCTCCAGATCTAAAAGGGTAAGTTATACAGTAGTGTCAAATTCTCCACATCTAAAAGGGTAAGTTATACAGTGGTGCCAAATTCTCCAGATCTAAGAGGGTAAGTGACTGACTCTAAGGTATCCCACCCATAATTTTTGAAAGGAAAGTGCTGATGATCCAGACTACTGCCCTAGTTAAAAATCACAATATGGCTGTCGAGATAACAGGTTAAGGCATCAAGATTAAGTTTGGTCTTGAGTGCTAATTCATAAGGGAATGAATGTAATACTTCCACACAGTCACAGTGGTGGTTTCTGAAGGCTGTCTATACTAGAACTCAATGACGCTATCAAAGACAGCTCCCTCAACTTCAGAAGTTGGTCGCTTCCAGAAAAGCTTCAGCAAGATTTTCTGATTACATTTTATAAATTTGACAATGTTTAATAAAATCATAAGCACTATTTATAGTGCTGAAACACTCTAGTTTTGATACATAGCGATTGACCAGATGCATCACTAAAAGTGTCGGGTTCTGTAAGTTTAAAACGTCTGGTTGTTAGGATGCCGTTGTTTCATTACACGAATCATCGGAATGTAGAAAATGCAAAAGAAAAGAGACGGAAGTAGGAAATAAATGATCTTGATTTCTACACTCAACGTTGAAGCACTGTTGATTAAAATATGCTAGTTTTGAAATTATTAAAAAAAAAAAAAAAAAAAAAATTCCCGAGTCTGTTTTTGATGAGGAAAAAAGGGAAAAGAAAGGCTCCCTCCTGCATTTTTTTTTTGAGAAAACTGGCTTGAGAACCAAGTTATTGATTTTTTAGGCCTTAGTAAAGGTCACACATATTTCAACTTGAGCCCAATTACTTGAAATCTAAACTAGAAAAATGTGAATTATGTTTAGAGCAACAGCACTTTCCAGACACAACAAGATATGGAGAAATAATCTGTAATGACTTGAAATAATTAAATTTTTAATTTTAACTAAGGTTTGCCCTTGCAATATTGAAATTTGATTTTGACCTCCATGCAGTACATATTATATGCATTATTATTATACAATTAATTACTCCTTATGAGGTCAACATGGTGAAATAAGGACCCGAGACCTGGCTGACGAGGTGACCTGACCTGACCGAGGCCGCGTAGTGGCCGGGGTCTGGTCAGGTCAGCGAGTACAACGACAATCTGGTGCAGACTTTTACTGTACATAAGAGCCAAGTCTGCTAGGGGTGAAACGATACACCTCCTTCACGGTTCAATACGTATTGTATAATTTTGTCTCGGTTCGGTTATTTTCGGTACGATACATTTTGATAGAAGGAAACAAATTCAACGTTGTTTTATGCTTTCGTTTTCTAAATCTAGTCACATATTTTACGAATTTTATTTGCAAATTGACTAGAAGAAATTGATTAAAATTATTTGACTGTCAAAAATTATTTTACAAGCTATCATTCATAAAAAAATTTACGTTTTTCTATACTATTTATACTGAGTAACGTGCCAAACCCGACTGAATAACGATCCCGCCCGAAAAATGAACCGAACCGAATATTAGAGATTTTGCACCGTGTATCAAACCGAGAAAAAATACCGCGGTGAATCGATACCGCGGTGAACCGTTTCACTCCTAAAGTCTGCATTCTTTGAATTTGACATTGTAACGAAAATTTCAATGAAAACGATAAATTTTAAGGCGCATCTGAAGGACAATCGTATTCCGTATCATAAAAAGACTATATATATTTCTATTTTTTTGTAATGAACAGTCATTACTGTATGCATTAATTTTTAAATTTGTATGGAATTTAGATTAATAGGCCATTTTTAGCGGTCATTATTTATAATGACCGGGTCATTATACCCCACATGCAATGATTCCTAGGTCATTATTGCTGTAAACAGTACTTTTTGGAGTTATTATTGAGTTTAAAAGCCTTCTAACAAGCCAATCAAATTTGAGTATTCTTAATAGAGGTATAATAAATGCATTTATCACATGACTGTCGAATAAGAACTAATTTCAATAGAGAGTGGGTATACTGTGTTATTTCAATTTTATAAATCGACTTTGTTCGTTTTAAAAAAAGTAATCCTGTCATAAAAGACATTTTTAGGTGAACAGTGTTAATGTAATGCTACATTACTAAAATCTATACAGTATTTCATAATTTTGCTAATGATTATTTTTAATTATCAGCAGAAACCAAAAAAAAAAAAAAAAAAAAACATTGTATGTTTAACACACTTGATTTTCATTAGTTTTGATCTTTTACAATTTTTTGGATACATTTCTGAATATTGATACATGTAGTAACTCTGTTTTTTCTTAAAATCAACACAAATTCAAAACATTATATAAAGTACATGTACTCCTCATTAATTTTTTTTTTTTATTCTTTTTTTATTTTAATCCTGAATCAGACATCAATGACTTTATAACTCTCAGTACATAGCTAAATATCTAATTCACAATCATTTCCTGACATAATGGAATGTTTACATGTATTTGATTTTCTTCACTTTACCACAGTTCAACTCAGCCACAAAAAGGTTGTCTCTGGTGTCTACACATAAACCCCATGGATATGATAGATCACAGTTATCAATGTAACGGAGGAACTGTCCGTCCTGATCTAGGATGTGGATGCAGTTGTTTTTACAGTCTGATGTCAGGATCTGACTCTGGCTGTCTGTTGTGATGCTGAGTGGATCAAATTCTTCCTTGGTAGTAAAGGGATGACCATTGTATCTAAATCTGAGTTTTCCAGCCTGATTAACCACCACTACAGCATTAGCTCTATTGTCAGCCACACAGATATCCAGGTTCCTGTTCTCACTGATGTATTTAATGTTACCAGATGAATACAGAGGTTTACCTTCACTATCAAACTGAATGGTTTGTTTCTCTGTGGAACCAGAGTAACGGACAACTTTTGATTGTTCATCATCACTGTTCATGGTAACCAGGAGGTCACCAGAGGAGGTACTACAGACATACCTAGGTTTCCACCCCTGTAGTCTGATCACTTCCTGTATCTGTTTATTCTTCATTATGTTTACAGTTCTTGTATCAGGTTCAGTATAAACTAGATCTCCACTCCTTGTCACTGCTATGCCACGTGGTTTGTTTCCAGACTTGGTTTGGATTGACTTCAGTAGTTTGCCCTGGAGGTTGTAGAGTTTCATGATTTTGTCATCTCCTCGTGTCCAGATTTCTTCATCACTGAGACAGGTAACACTGTGTAGATATTTATGTTCCGTGTCTATGATGGTGATGAGCTTTGGTTCATCAAGCAGTGGTTTGACTGGAGGACAGGATACAGCTTCTAGTGTCTTTATTGTGTAGCCATGTTCTTCTGTTGTAATAGATAATGCTGACAGAGAACCGAACATTTGATGGAGCTGATCTGTGTTGATCTGATGAGGAGAGAAACTTGGTAATGAAACATTGATCTCTGGAGGTAAACGTTTAAACTTTGCATTTCTGGGTTTGTATACAGAGGCTAAGGAAATATCAGTGGATCCAAGAATTTTCTTCAGATCAGCAATACTTTGTTTCACTTCTGCAGTAATTTTTGTGATTTCATTTTCCTCTTTATTTAGGGCAGCCAGGTGTTCAGTTTTCATCTCATCAATTTCAGATTTTTGTTTGTTGACAATGATGTTAATTACTCTGTGCCAGTCTTCTCCTTGTTTGGTGACAGCTGTTGTCAGTTTCCTATAGTGTGTTTCTAAGTTGTCTTTTTTGCTTTTTATGCCTGATGCTATTTCTTCATATTTTGGGAAAATTCTAGTCTCAAGTTCTTTGAATTCTTTTTCCATGTCTTTTGTTTTGGAGCTGATTTTTTGTAAAACATCTGATAAATGATGTCCTTTATGTTTACCTGAGGAGATACAGGTAGAACAGACAGGAATGTCACATTGTTCACAGTAAAGTTCACAATTCTTGGAATGCGCTGGACATTTTGGGTAGTTAGGAGTTGATGTTCTTTCTTTATATGGTACAACTCTATGTTTCTTTGTTGAATCAGAAAGATGCTCCCCTACACAGCTCTTACAAAGATTTGTTTGACAAAGCTCGCAGTGACTTTGTACCACATGAATCTCACAAAGATTGCACCTTAGGATGTCCTGAGCACTATACCGGGGGTCCATTACTGTTATGTTGGGCACAGGCTCAGGTGACAGTCTGCAAGAAAGTGGAGAAATAAAAATAATGGTTAAATACCATTGATATTAAATGATTTGCTGATACAAACAGTTCTTGAAAAGATAGTATTTACAGCCAATATAAAGAAATTAGAAAATTTACTTATAAAGTAGTATCATGACCTTAATTTTGAATGACTTTGATATAATTATATTTATCCAGAAAATGTAAAGGTTCAGTCATGCCAATGACCTAATTTCAAGTCCTAATTTCCTTTTTTCAACCATTAAAGTTTCAGGCAAGCTCTCTATAAAAGTTGAAGTTCTTCATTAAAACAATAATTCATTTATTCACACAATTAGAAATACAAACAGTACTGATAACAATATAAAAACAGCTTTATGTATCATGTCTCACCTATAAATCTAACATGGCTCCATGAAGACAATATTACTTCCTAGTTCAGTTATCTATCTTAACCTGTTTTCTGGTCATGTGATTTAAATACCTGTACTTGTCTATATAAGACGTATATAATGATTGCATGCTGTTAAAATGTGGCACAGGTCAGATTTCAGTTGTGAAGTTGTGTGTGTAGAATTCAACTAATTTCTTATTTATAACCCCTAATTTTTTTTATTGAATGTACTGAAAATAAATTTTTGGGTGAAATTCCTGAAGGTAATAATGCATTATGAGAAAACTTTAAAATAATTGAATTGTTTCAGATGGGGAAGGAATAAACTGCTTGAACTATATTTTTTCAGTTGGTTATTTTCAATTGTTGCTGCATTAAAATATTATCAAACAGCCCAAGTGATACGTACCAGTACATACCATGAAATGTTGCAGATCAACTTAGTCAATTTCGGTTTTGATCATCTATCCGTTCTCTATCTTGAAACTGTAAAAAAGAAAAAAGGAAGAATTTCATATTCAGCAGAACAAGGGATTTTGTAAAATGCCAGGGATATCAATCTTATGAGCTTGACCTTGAACTTTGACCTGCTAGTTTGAAAAATCAGTCGTCTCAGACAGTATTCTTTGAAAAATAAATATGCCTTAGTACATATTTATCATAATACATTTTGCATATTGCAATTATATCTATCTCATGGTGCATGTTTAGGTTCTGCTGGCTTTAGAAACTTTATCAACAGGATATTTTAAGGGTCCAAAATTATACAAAGGAACTTATGCAATCGAGAATGAGATTTAAAATTCATCCCAAAGAACATTAACTAGATGAGCAAATATTTTGGTTCAGGGTGATCATTAGATGACAGGACCCTGTGAACTGAATGGGGACATAGTGAACACCTCCAAACATTAGTATCATGTTTAAAAGTCATAAACACAGTCATATTTTCAATCAAGAAAAAAATAAAGAATTCAAAGCAGATTATAAAGTACAATTTATTAGGATTTTATGAATGGAATTTGTATTATATTTGTTCAAGATTTGTTCATGTCCTGGCCGTATATTCATTGTTTCCATTTTCTTGTAGAATTCTAAAAGGGAGGAAGAGAAGAATGAACACAACACGTCACTGAGTCGCAAAAAGTACAGGGAGGAAATCAAACAAGTTAGTAAATCTCTCTCTCTCTCTTTGAGAATTGTGTAATAGTATCTAGTATTTTTTTTTGATGAATTGTAAAATAAAAAAAAAATACCAGTTAACATGGTTAACAGTATTAAGCATGTCATTCAGGGTTCGAAATTCACTATATACAACTCGCAAAACGCGAGTTAGAATTCCCCAATTGCGAGTTAAAAATTAGGTAACTCGCAAAAACTTGCGAGTTGATTTTTTTTGCATTGAAACTGTAGCAAAATTATATAATATGACAGAACACAATGCCTTTGATTTAAGTCAGTAATTTAAATAAAAGTCACACTGCAGTTGTATTTTGTGTATTGTACAGAAGTAAACTTTTTCCTTAAGTTACATGTATTTAATTTATATAAATTTAACTTTATATAAAAATTGCGAGTAGTCTTATAAAATTGCGAGTTCACTTTCTTGGTACTCGCAATTATTTGCGAGTTGAAATTTTAGGGAGTTTCTAACCCTGTCATTTGACATGTAGATTGTTTTTATTTTTTGTAATAAAAAACAACTTTAACTTCTGATTCTTTGAAGCACAATGGTGATGTCCAGCTCACCCGATACAGTAAATTACCAATGGAGGAGATTGCCAACAAACTTACAGTCGACAAAAAAGATGATATTAATGTCAAACTGAACAGTGACCTTCAGTCCAATGTCAAGGTCAGCCAGATGGCAGAGATTTTGGTGTCAAAGTTCAAACAAGGCTTGGAGCCACCAGTTAAACAAAAAGTGGTAAAAATTTTTGTTCAAAATTAATTTAGAAAGAATCTGGGGGGATAAGACGAGCCATGTGCCCATGCCCATTTTTCGGCTATGCAAGAACATTTATTGGAAAAAATTTCTCAATTGTTCGAATTTACTTGAGCATTTTAATGTTTACCGTAGTTTTCAAAATGATATTTATATTCTAAACAAGCTAAACAGTTGACTTTCATTTACTGTCACAAATGTCTAACATGGGTAAGGACTTCTATTAATTAATCTGCATATTGAGTGTTTACACTTATTGTGGAGATATTATAAAAATGTTAACATCGTATATAATGATAATGGTGATCTAGAAGCGCTTTTATTTAAAATAAATAAAACGGGAATAAAAGTATTCAAATATCTATTATAATTTTTATCCGGCATTTTAAATAATTTACTGTAAATAAGTTCATTATTACATATATATATTTTATTTTCAGTGAAAAATATGTTATTCCTATAGACATTTTTTATAAAGTAAAACAAAATTAAAACTAAAAAATTCAAATAAAAAAAAAAAAAAAAAAAAAAAAATCAGAGCATGACTCGAACACTTTCCTCAGTAAAAGTCCCTTTAAAGAGCTCATCGCTAACCACTAGACCACGGAGTCACACTAACATTTCCATTTAAATAGCATACAGTTCTCTATATTTAGCAAGCGTTTTTGGACTTAGAATTTTTTAAGACCACGGTGAACATTTAAGTAAGTTAACTTAATTTTTTATGTAGAGTGGGTCTTCATACCAAATTTTTGCAAGTGTAAAAAGCAACATCTTTCCATTGCCTTTCATTAATCGTTCTCAAAAAAATGGTACGATGACCCACTCTATTTAAAAAATGTAGTTATATCATCCAATTTATGTCAGTTTCTGTGAAAATTGAGCGTGATGCCATTTTGTTGTGTTAATCAGAATCATTTTCGCTGTTACAGTATTCAGGTTTTGTCAAATTTATATGCAAATGGTAATAAGCATTACATTAATTCAACAAAAAGTGAAATTTTTGTAAAATGAATTTATTGATTTTTTATCGATCGTTATGTAGGCATATGGCTCGGCTTATCCCCCCAGTTTCTTTTGTGTTTGAAATGAAAATCTGTATTGTGAATGATGTTTTACAGTTAAAAGATACATTAATTTAAAAGTTAAAAGATCAATTAATTTACAATGTACCAGTACGTTGACTAGAGAATCTACTAATGTCTTGTTTAATAGGAGTGAATTTTCATATGGGAACTTAAACGTATTTTTATCCTGCAGCCACCTCTTGCATTGACTAAATAAACTAAAGCTATATTAGGTCAATACCCTAATAAGGCTATGTGCATTTCAACGTCATAAAAAGCATTGTGAAGTCCTCTATATTGCATTGTTTACGCCATAGTGTCATAGTCTCTTAATGCAGAGATGTGACTTAATTTGTTGAAAATACCTTGTTTTGGAGGTCAAGTGTAAGTAAATTTATACTGCAGGATAAACAAAGTACATGATAACTGTCTTGAAATTTAAGCAATATCTGGGCTTGGGTCAAAAATGTATGGTGTTGGCAAGCCTCGTCCATCAAATTTTCTTACCCTCGCCCAAATATTTCAAGGTACTAACCATGTATTTTATATATAATACTCACTGTGTCCCCTAGAAAACGACTGGTGTTCTGTTGGCCGCCCAGCCAGAGAGTGAGATCTGCTATTTCTGTAAGAAACGTGTGTATATCATGGAGAGAATGTGTGCTGAGGGCATCTTCTTCCACCGTGGGTGTCTCAAATGTGATTTCTGTGAGTGTGGACTGAGAGTAAACAACTACAGCTGTGATAGACTGACAGGGAGTGAAGGTAAATTCTTTACAAGACCAGGGTGACTTAAGGTCCACAACGTCTGTCTTGGATCATTGTGACTTAAGGGCCTCAATATCAGTCCCTCTTATTGATCCTTTTGACTTCCTCCTACTTAACTTTGAAAGATTCCCCAAGGGTTAAGATTAAAAAAAAATCTATTGATGTTAAGGTTAAAGCCATTAAAACTGTTGAAGGCTAGCAGTCAAAGCACTTTGTTGTGCTTTCTTTTAATTCACTGGTTTTTTTTTTTTTTTACATACCTCAAATTCAAAACTTGATTTAAGTAGTGATTAAAAGTAGTGATGTTTGTCTGTTTGTTTGTATGTTGTTTAACGTCCCTCTCGAGAATTTTTCACTCATATGGAGACGCCACCACTTGCCGGTGGAGAGCTGCAAATTTTGTCCTATACTCGGCACTTACAGCCATTGAGCAGTGAGGGATCTTTTTCGTCCCTGCACCTACTGCCACATTGGACCTCGGTTTATATGGTCTCATCCGAAGGACCGGTCTCCACATCCCACAGTGGGATTCGAACCCGCAGTGTAAGGATCAACTCCTTACTTCGCGACTCTAGAGCAGACGCTCTTACCACTGCGCCACGCGGGTGACAAAAGTAGTGATGAAGTAGTCTTGTAATTTCCTTAGTTCTGCATCAGTTTTGTGTGTATTTACACGTACATTCTACATTTACTTCTACAGTGAAGTTTTACTGTTTCCGTCACTCTAAGCCTGAGATGAGATTAGGTCGTGCCAAGAGAAAGCGGGCATTCGAAGAAGATACTTCAAAAGTAAGTGTGCTGATGACTGGAAAAGACATTTCCACACGATTACTTTGTATTCCTTTTTTATAAAAGTGACTTTTTTTGTATTTAGTAAATTTGCAGTTTAAAAGGGCATTTCTCTTTTAATTTCTTATTTTATGAAAAATTTTTATTTGATTTGTTTTTTCAAGGAGAACATACCAAAAATTGTGGAGGATATTGTTAAAACACCCAGAAAGGAAACATTGACTGACTCCCCTAAAAAAATACCAGGTATGGTGGTGGGTAGAGTTATCTCCCTTTATGTTGGGAAGAGTTATCTTCCCTGTCATAATTTAGATAATATAGGGAATACATATACTTGTACAAGGAATAAAATTGTACATTTTCTTAATGTTAACACAATATATTGAAATGCAAACAGTAACTGATATAATTTTGAAATTATTTTGAGATTTTCAATAAATAAATGAAATAGTAATAAACTGTATCCTCTAAACACTCTTCATGTCATGTGAAAGAAAGCAGCATATTACAAATCAAGTACAGCCATAATTCAGTAAGCTTAATTATTGCAAATCAAGTACACCCATATTTATATAACCCATTCATTAAGGTCAGGTACACACATATATAATACCATTCATTGCAAATCAAGCACACTCATATTAAAGTAATACCATTTTTACAAAGTTTGGAATATTTAATATGAATGACTGTATGTACAGGGTGCATGTGTATTGAAATACTTATGAATTAATTGTATACTAAGTTAAGTTACAGGAAATGTAATATATATATTACTTTACATATTAATTGTTTGCAGATGTTTGCTACAATAACTGTAATACATATTACCTCGTTTTTCTGTATGATTGGATTAATACCTGAATAATCTTCACATACTTAGGGTTTAGATAATCTCATCATCAACATTACAGTTTACATTGTGTTATCAAGTTAGCCGTTTCTGATGAAAGTTGATTTATAAATTGACTAAAAGTTTTCAAATACAAACACTCAAAAATATTAAATTTTCATTCAAACCCCCCCCCCCCCCCCCCCAACGAAAACAAAAAAAAAACATGGACTTATCAGATATGATTTTACATATCTTAGCCTCCTGCCACAAATATGTTTAAATTTTAATTAGCTGTTTCTGTCTTTTTACAATTTAGTTTAATTTTTAATTACTATTAGACTGTATGTACATTGATTTGCAACAAAGTATCCTCCTGTTTGATAAACATTGTGTTTTAGACCTGTTAATATACATTGACAGTCCTTAATGTAGCATATGGTAGCCAATTATGATTGAGATGTACATGTGTTAAATACACGAAATTCATTTTTTCATTTCAAAACATGAGTTAAATGCCACTCAGATAGTTTTCTTTGTATATAAAAAAAAATTAAACCCCAAAATTTAAAAAAAAAAGTCATTAAAGTTGTCTTCAATAAATTAAAAAAAAAATTTAGATCCCCCTTTCTTTAATATCAGTTATAAACCCTTTTCATTTTGTGGTAAAGCTAGCATGTAAAATTTTGTCAAAACAATTTAAATTTAAATGTTTTTTTTTCTGACTACACATTTTCAGTCATTAAAAAAGGAAGGAAAGATACAAAAAGTAAGTAATATGTTCACCTGCAATGTCTCAGTGCTCACATGGAATGCTTTATGTCTCAACCTTTGTAAGAATCAGGCTGATTGGTTAATGTTTTTCTTTATGTCTCAACTTTTGTAAGGCTCTGTCTGATTGGTCCCTTTTTCCTTTGTAGACCAATTATATAATTGACATTATAGTGTTTTAGAGTATAATTATGTAGTAAGGTCAGGGATATTTTTTTTCATTATTTGTAATAAGAAATTCAGATAATGTCATTAAAGACCGATATTTATACACAACCTTTATATGTAGAATAGTGATCATGTAATTTTTTTAAGTGTAGCTTTTAACTTAATATCTTTGCTACACAAATGTGACATACATGTATATTTTTCATTATCACTGCAGCACTAACATTAAAACACATCTGTGTATCATATTTATGTGACAAACAGTACAAATGCTTCACAGAGTGCTTGTCGTTTACAAGTAACTGATACAAAAAGTACACCTATGCTTCTACATTAAAATGTTACACTATAAACTGTCAAGGGGTGGGGTGGGGGTGGGGTGGGAGGTTATTGATTGTTGAATATTGTCAAGCACATCTTTTGTTGCATGGTTGCATGGATAATTCTAAACCTTTTTTTTTTATTGATATGTGAATTTTTTTATTGCCATGTAGTTTATTATATGGTTGTTCAGATGAGTTCTGTGATGAATCTAGTGATCAAGGTGTATGGGTCTTTAAGGTGTTTGGGTCGATAAGTGATTGGAGCAGAATGAAGGTTATATATAATTACATGTACCTGAGGTCAATATTTGAAGGAACTATGAAGAACAATTTTCATGTGGCAAAGAAAAAATAAAATAACTATGTTGTGTGTATTTTAATTACAGTGATTATTATATTTGTTAAATTGACCTAAGAATAGCAGATAAAAAGTAAGACTTCCATTTATTTATTTTAAATATGTGTATTTCTTTTGTACATAAATTGTATTTATATTTACATCCATCATAAGATTTAAGAATGGAGATAAACTTCAGAAAAATTATGATAGTTATAGAGTGGCTTCAGTCAGTAAACTGAATAAACGGGAAAAACCTAATATTATAACAAAGAGGTAAAAAACAGCTCTACCCTAATATTTTCACATAGAAATGTAATTTTATTAGCATTCTTTTTTTTTTTTTAATCTTTTCTGTTGAGTAAATCCAATTTAAATACATCTATGTATAAAATTGAATGTTTCACAATTGTTCACTTAATTACATACTATCAGAATGTTAACATTTTTGTCCCTTTTACAGCCCCTCTCACCCCTCCTCTGGCCCCTGAGACAGATTACATCAAAGCTAAGAAAACTCCAGAGAGAATCGAGTTTGAAAACAGCATCGACGGACTTCCGGAGGAATCAGAAGAGGAATTAACAGAACACAATCTACGAGCCTCGATGTCACGTGATGCCATGTTGGAAGAATTTAGTGATGAAGACCTATCAGACTCTGACCTTGAGTATGTATATTTATATCTGACCTTGACCTCGCATCTCTTATTGTGTTCAAGGAAAATTAGTTTATCTGATACTTTATTTATGAAGTTCTGATTTTTGTTCTCATGTAAGTTTTTTTTCTCTTTTTTGCTTTATGATATGTTAGCTTTTACATGTAAAGTAAATTCTTTAGGATAATATAATAGCTAGATTCCTAAAGATAAAGCCACATCAAATATGATTTTTCTTTTTTTATCTGCCCTCTAAATCTTATGGAACAATTGTATTGCTTAATCTTTGTTTCCTTACAATTTTGTAGCATTTTTTAAAAAAAGTTAAATACTCTTCGTTTTCTGAAACGTTATGATAAAACATTTTGTTGCTATGACAACAGTGACCTGGAGCTAGCAGCTATTCTACAGGGATGGTACGATGATTGAATATTGCCTGACATAGTATTAGAAATCCCTTTTATTTTTGTTTAGTGTGATATTTTCAGAAAATCTCCATTTTGTTTAATTAAAAGAGAATGCTCTTTATCCATGGATTTGGAGAGTTTTTTGCCAGTTGAATGTGTAGTAATTTTAAGTATTGTTTACAAAAGTCTTTGCCACTAATATTCTCATTAAAAATTGCTGCTGAGAAAATATGAATGGCTGTAAGAAAGTTTTGAGGAGTAATCCATACACAGGTCGAGGAAACTATACTTTCTGACGTCAGAATAAATTTACATGCTAAATGAGGCTCCAACGTGACTTACAAACTGACCAATCAGCTAAATGAGTTGAATTGCATTATGGGTTACTAAAAAGTTCATGCTTTGAAAAAGCCCAACATTTTCTACTTGCTCTCGTGATTTTTTTCTTAATGCATTTCACTTATTAAATACAGTAATATGTACATCTTTATCTACTATTTCCATGCTCACATTTACGAACAACTGTTTTATAACCATAGAATTCTAGTTCTTCATCCTATTGTGCAAGATGACTGTTGGACAATTCGCAGCTAGGTTAAGGACTCCCATATATACATCAGCCTATGCAGAGGTTCGGGAAAGCTATTATGACGTCACGTTAAAACAATACAAATGAATCTCGATGAATAAATACTATATGTTCTTTTTAATACACACTTAATACTTCTTTTTCTCATAAATATTATAAAGATAAATGGATGTGCAACTTATCTTGCCATAATAGCACATAGCATAATTATGTAGAATGAATGCCAGCTTGATCTCGCTGTACTGACTGAGATGACGTCATTTTGTAGTTTGACACGCAGTTTCACTGTACTTGAGGCGTGGATCAAGCTTTTATTGTAGCTTGTAAAAACAAAAATAACTAGTGCTAATTGTAACGAGAACCGTTACAGATGTTCCCCAAACGGCTCCTCAATCCCTTATGATGACCCATTCTCTACAAGCTTCAATAAATTAGACAATACTTTAAATTTGTAATATAGATGGACACTTTATTTTTAAGGGTATTTCATTTGAAAACTACTCAGATATAGCCATATGGGTATTAGCCAATCAAATTTCAGCGCATGTGCTTGCACTTGTTTTCTACATTTATCACATTAATTTTCTTATAGTGTCTCACAATGTATACATTTGTGTTAAATATCAAAGAATTTCATTGAAAAATAAGAGAGATGTAACCCTTTAAGTATTAGCCAATCAGAATTCAGCATACCCGCATGCATGGCCTTGCATTCAATTTTGATAGTATCATAATGTAGGAGCCCTGTGTGCCTCTCCATGTCGCAAATTTCATCCTGTTTCATTGAAAACAAAGGGAGTTATAGACATTTAAACTTTCAGCCAATCAGATTGCAGCACACCTGCATCCGCGTGTTTTCAAGAAATTTCCTATGTAACATGTTGTAGCACCTTATAATATATGCTTATATTCTAAATTTCAAAATATTTTGTCAAAAAACAAGGAAATTATTGAGATTTTTGTATCAGCCAATCAGAGAAGAGCGCACATGCATGCGCGTGAGTTCACGCTAATTTGACCATGTCATCTTGTCTAGACTACTAATGTATCTTTATATTTTGAGTTTCAAAGCAATTCATCAAGAAATATAAAAGTTATGGCTTCATTAAGCATATCAGTCATTTCACTCACTGCACGCGCGCGCACGTGCATGCATGTGCACGCAAAATGACATTCGTTCCGAACACCTACACAACATGCCTATTAACCCTAAAAAGGTTTCATGTCAATCGGATGAGTGGTTATATGAGAACACTCCCGGACAAAAAAGTACCGGAGAAGAAAGTAGAAAAAAAGAATAATAATAATAATAATAATAATAAGAAACAGAGTAAAAACAATATGTTCCCAAACTTCGTTTGGGGAACATAAATATATTGTGTATCATAAAAAATAAAAACATGTATATAGCCATATAAGGTAGATTCCTCGACCTGATACAATGAAATTAAAGATTACATTTTGGAATATTTTTAAGGAAATGTTGCATGCAGTTCGATTGCTGGATTATGATGAAGTTATTAACTCAGTTTAATCTCTAGTTAATGATGCATGACATGTGCTGATTGGGAAATTTAACATCAAAGATGATTTACAAATAAAAAGAAAGGAATGTTTAAGTTTAGGTCAATGATACATTACAAAAAGATATACTTTGTTTGGTTTGAATCAGGGAGACAGAATCCATACTTGTACTTGGAGATTTTTATCTTGTGGTAATAAATTTATATTGCTTAAAGAACTTAGCTTCAGTATAACTAAACTGACTGTGCATGATGAGAATGGATTTTTAGTATTCCAACTCTGTTCTTTAAAGGTAGATAAGAATTCAGTCATCCAAAAAAAATTATCAATAAGGTTTTAGCTCACCTGAACTGCAGGCTCAAGTGAGCTTTTGTGATCAAAATTTGTTTGTTGTCTGTCGTTGTCATTTGCATTGTCATTGTAAACTTGATATAATTGCAACTTCTTCTTCAGAACCACTGGGTCAATTTCAGCCAAACTTGGCACAGAGTATTCTTGAATAAAGGGGATTAAAGTTTATTCAAATTAATTGCCATGCCCTTTTATGAAGGGAGATAATTAAGAAATAGTAAAAATTGGGTGGTGTTATTTAGAAATCTTCTCAAAAACCATTTTGACATAAAAGATGTAACTCATGATGTAGTGCCACAGTTTTACTTTAAAAAGTTTTACATTGGAATACAAACGAAAAATCTTTAAAAATTTTCTTTTTTAGAACAGCAAAGCCATGATAAATCATATTTCTATGGAAGTGTTTGCAGGAAGTGTAGATTGAAGTTTGTTCAATGCAAGACCCTCTAGGGTCAAACGTTTGCATGGATACATGGTGTATATATAAGAAAAAGTCTTCTCTAGAGCAGCAAAGCCATGTTTAATCATATTTATTTTGAAGCACTTAATATAGTATAGATTCAGTTTTGTGCAAATCATGTGCCCCAGGGGTAAGAGAGCCACAATGGGCAATCAAAGTTTAACATTGGAGTACAAATGGAAGATATAGGAAAAATCTTTAAAAATCTTCTTTTCAAAAACAGTAAAGCCATGATCAGTTATATTTACAGTGAAGCATCATCAGATAGCGTAGATTCAAGTTTGTTCAGATAATGACCCCATGGGGTAGGGTGGGGCTACAAATGATGATAAAAGTTCTACATAGGAATATAAAAGAAAAAAGAATCTGCTAGCTAATAAAGAACGAGAAGGGCAAAAGTTACTCGGGCGAGTGTTGTGATCCATGGGCCTCTTGTTATATAAAGTATGACATGATATAAGGGACAGAATCCAAACATTCAATCACTACTGTATGCAGTATTAGTCTTTGTTATGTTAATTTTACACCTAATATGAATTCTCAAGCAACTCTAAAAAATTAAATAAAAATTAATAAGAAAATATCAAAAAATAATTTTTAGCTCTTCTGAGCCAAAGGCTCAAAGAGCTAATGCTATGGCCATTTGTGCGGTGTGCGGTGTGCGTAAACTTTTTAGAATATGGGCGATAACTCAAGAACCCCTTGGCCAATTATTGTCAAATTTGTCACAGGGTATCCTTGGCCCAAGGGCTCCCTTTTATACTAAAACTGGGGTTGTGACCCTTTAACAAGGGGAGATAATTAGGAAAATAGAAACAAAAGTACTGGTTGCTAAAAAATCTTCTTCTCAAGAACCACTGGGCAGATTATCACCAAACTTACACAAAAGGATGAGGATATGTTGTAGATTAAAATTTGCACGGGGATTTACCCTGGGGCAAAGGGCGTGGTCTCAAGGTCACTTCAAAGTTGACCAAAAATTACATTTTATTAAAATGTTGATATTTTGCTTACTATAAGGACTAGGATCATCAAATCTTGTCAGTTGGTGCATCTAAGGACCTCATATCATGTTGACTCAAAAGTAGGTCATGGTGACCTACTTTTTAAATTTTGCGGCCATTCTTTTTCAAAATGATTTAGAGGCTTATTTTGAACAATTTAAGGCCTATGATCATCAAACTTTGTCAGTTGATGCATCTTGGGTCCTCAAAGTACGTCAACTAAAAAGTAGGTCACCTTGACCTACTTTTTGAATTTAATGGCTAATCTTTTTTAAAACAATTAAGGTCATTAATTCGAATACGGGGAGGCTTAGAATCATTAAATCTTGTAAGATGATGCATCTTGGGGCCAAAAAACATAATTATTAAAAAGTAGGTCACAGTGACCTACTTTTTGAACTTTGCAGGCATTAGATTTCAAAGCATTTTAGAGGCATAATTTGGACATTTTAAGTCCTATGATCATAAAACTTTGTAAGTTGATGCATCTTGGGTCCTCAAAAAAGGTCAACTGAAAAGTAGGTCACCGTGACCTACTTTTCAATTTATATGACTATAATTAAATATTTCAGGTACTAATTGGCTTAGAATCAACAAACTTTGTCAGTTGATGCATCTTGGGTCTTCAGGGAAGGTCGACTAAAAAGTAGGTCACAGTGACCTACTTTTGAAAATTTATGGCGTTAATTAAATATTTCGGGTACTAATTGGCTTAGAATCATCAAACTTTGTCAGTTGATGCATCTTGGGTCTTCAGAGTAGATTGACTAAAAAGTAGGTCACCATGACCTACTTTTGAAAATTTATGGCTTTAATTAAATATTTCGGGTACTTATTGGCTTAGAATCATCAAACTTTGTCAGTTGATGCATCATGGGTCTTCGGAGTAGGTCGACTAAAAAGTTGGTCACCGTGACCTACTTTCGGAAAATTTATGGCTTTAATAAAATATTTCGGGTACTAATTGGCTTAGAATCATAAAACGTTGTCAGTTTGTGCGTCATGGGTCCTCGGAGTACAACAACTGAAAAGTAGGTCACGGTGACCTACTTTTGAAAATTTATGGCTTTAATCAAATATTTCGGGTACTAATTGGCTTAGAATCATTAAACTTTGTCAGTTGATGCATCTTGGGTCCTCGGAGTACAACAACTGAAAAGTAGGTCATGGTGACCTACTTTTGAAATTTTATGGCTGTATTTAATATTTTCAGGAATTATTTGGCTTAGAATCGTCAAAATTTGTCAGTTGATGCATCTTTGGTCCTCGGAGTAGGTTGACTGAAAAGTAGGTCACTGTGACCTACTTTTGAAAATTTATGGCTGTAATTAAATATTTTGGGTACTTATTGGCTAGAATCATCAAACTTTGTCAGTCGATATATCTTTGGTCCTCGGAGTACAGCAACTGAAAAGTAGGTCACGGTGACCTACTTTTGAAAATTTATGGCTTTAATTAAATATTACAGGTACTAATTGGCTTAGAATCATCAAACTTTGTCAGTTGATGCATCTTGGGTCCTTGGAGTAAAACAATTGAAAAGTAGGTCACTTTGACCTACTTATAAAATTTTATGATTATAATTTTAAAAAATATTTTAGGTATTAATTGGCTTAGAATCATCAAACTTAGTTGATGGGTCCTCAGAGAATGACAAGTGATAAGTAGGTCACCATGAGCAACTCTCAGGTACTAATTGGCTTAGAATCATCTTGGGTTCTCAGAGTGTGAATTGGAATTTCAAGGGTTTATGTAAATATACAGGATACTTCGAGGCTTCAAATAGAAGTGATAGGTTGTACAGTTAATCAGAAGAGCGATTCAAGGCCCATGGGCCTCTTGTTATAAATTAGTGTCATATGTGTTCATAAAATACTAGTATGTAATTTGTGTTTGCATGAACAATAACAAACCCATGGATTTGAAAAAGAAGAAAAAGGGGGATAATAAAAAAGGGGGAATAACACAGCCATACATTCAAACTCCTTGACAGTAAAAATATACTAAATCATATAAAAAATGTCATAAAGTGCATAAAAATCAGGTTATAATGATTTATTGATTCTGAGAAGTGAATCTCATTGTGTCAGATTTCAGTGAAAATTTAAATTACTCTGTGGTACAAACTGTTAAATACATGATTATAAAAGTCTTTCTCACCCAAACATCAGACTGAGTTCATTCATTTTGGCTTCTCAGAACCAGAGGCTTGTAAACTGGCCCTGTCAGTATTTATATCATTGAAAAAGGCTTGTAAACTGGCCCTGTCAGTATTTATACCATTGAAAAAGGCTGTAAACTGGCCCTGTCAGTATTTATACCATTGAAAAAGGCTTGTAAACTGGCCCTGTCAGTATTTATACCATTGAAAAAGGCTTGTAAACTGGCCCTATCAGTATTTATGTCATTGAAAAAGGCTTGTAAACTGGCCCTATCAGTTTCTATACCAATGACAATCTTGACTTGTATGATGTAATCTGCATTTTCTTCCCTCACAGCGATGTATTTCTCCTTAGGTATGATATTGACATTAGCTGTCTTGTAGTGTTATTCTGTGTGTATACTCAGACCATCTATATCACTGTATGATTTCTCTGATCTCTGGAAGGGAATCTATTATCATCACATAAAATATACACACATTCTTAGTGCTAAATATATTTCATTTCATGTACATCATACTTGTTTCTAGAAAAGCAAGTGAATGATTATTTTGTATCACCTAATATCAATAAAATATTTTTTTAAAATTTAATATTTAAGGTTTTCTTGATTAAAAAATTTCCTTTAAAAAAATTCTTTTTGTTATTTAACCACATGTTTTTCATTTTTTTTAAAGATTATTTCTTTCCAAGTAAACTATTCACTAAAATTTAATATTTCCATGTAAACTATTCACTAAAATGTAATATTTCCATAAATTTCAAATTTTGTTAAGAAATAAATAATTTCACTTTACCTTTTTATGGAGATTGTATCATGTTTTATAACGCCTATATTTTTTCTTGTTGATGATTAAAAAGTAACAGAAAGAAATATTCTTAATTCATTCACTCAACCCTAAAACGTAAATAAAAAAATGTGTTGTCAATATATATCATGTCTTTACTTAAATATACAAGTTTTTTTTTATAATTACAGCATATCATTTAATTAATGAATAGATATTTACATGTAACTATATGATGTTAAATATTATAAAAGTAGTAACATGTAACTGAATATTGCTTTATTACTAAAAAAAACTCAGTATTGACTACCAGTATGTTTATTGTATTTATACATACATCATGACAATCAATCACTCCTTTAAATGCCAGTATATGTAAAATGCCAGTATATGTAAAATAAAATCCACTCTTTTGGAACTATTTTAAAAGGAAGAATCTAGAAATATAAATATAAATACATGTATTAATTATATGATACAAACTCAGCTTGCCAGCACGCGTGGTAAATGGAATGACTAAATCCATCATATCCAGTATGTGTTTTGATAAGAATAATTGCTAATATATTTGTGGCCAGCTATGAAAGTAAATCTTAAAACAAGCAAACCTGTAAATGTTTATCTTCATGCATTTAATTATTCTTTTTTGCTTTCTGTAAAAATGTTAAAATGGTCTGCTTTTAAATTCTCCTTTTTTGCAAAGTATCCCAATTTTCTCTTTTTTAATTCTTAATTTGTAGCATTATTATCAAGTCAATAAAATGTTAGCTTAATTAAAAGGATTAATTTTGTTGTCATGGTAACACAGGTCCAGTGATGATGATGAGTTACAGGAAGCTGTGGAATCAACGTACGGACATAATGTCAGCAAGGACCTGACACTGGAGGAAGCTCTGGCTGTCGTGGAAACACTCAAACGTAAATCTTACGAGAATCTGATGGAGGCTGTGGATCAGGAGGGAGAGGAAGAATCAGAGGATGATACAGGTATAGGAGTTAGGGGATACAAGTAGTAAAGGTTTGGGGAATTGATGCAGATAAAGATATGGGTCTAAAGGGGGAGGGAGTCAGATAAAGGTCTGATGGGGGATCTTCGAAGATACAGGTCTATGGGGAAAGTTGTCAGAAACATGCACATCTTTGGGGGGGGGGGGGATCTTGGAAGGTACAGGCCCGTTAGGTCTGCGGGGAAAGGAGTCTGATAAAGATACAGAAGATACAGGTTACTGGGGGTGATGAGTCAGAAGAATATACAGGGCTGAAAGGGAATAAGTCAGAGGAAGATAAAATTTTGTTGGGGAATGAGTCAGTCAAAGATAGAGTTCTGTTAGGGAATAAGTCAGTTGAAGATACAGTTATGTTTGAGAATGAGTCAGAGGGAGATACAGTTTTGTTGGGGAATGAGTCAGAGGAAGATACAGTTCTGTTTGAGAATGAGTCAGAAGAAGATACAGGTCTATAGCATTGGGAAGAAGAGATGGAATATGTGTAAAGTACAGGATTGTTTGGGACTAAAGCATGCTTTAGACAGGGGAGGGAAATTGCAGGAGGATATGGGTATTTAGGGGGAAAAGTCTGGAGTTTTTAGAGTAGATTAATGGTTGATAATTAGTAACTATTTAGGTGTTGATGTGAGAGGATAGGGGAGGGAGGTTACTGCATGGTCTTTAAATATTTAATACATCTGTAAGTGATGAAAAATTTTAGTTATATTGTATTTATTTTGAATAATTTCTTTGAAGCAAATGCAGGCTTTATTGGAAAGTAGCTTAAGCATTGTTGGAGATACCTGTAAAATTCCTTCACCACACTTTTAATTGTATGTGAATAACTATGTATTGTTTTCTACTAGACACGGAGTATGAAGCCTCTGAAGCAGACTCAGATTTGGAAGAAATGGAATACGAAGATTCCTCCCCAGAAAAACCCAATAAAGATATTGTTCAGGAAGAAAATTTAGTGCAGAATAGTAGTCCTCAGAGGAAGGCTAGGGCCGACTTCTTTACGTCCCCTCCAGAACCACTGCGACTTGACCCTTGGAAAATGTTCGAGAAGACACCAGAGAGGGAGGTGAAGAAAGACAAAGAGGAGGAGGTGGTGGTCAGTGAAGAGGAGGGAGAAAATAAAGAGGAGGATCTAATGGTGGTGGGTGTTTGATAATCTTCTCATGACTGGGTTTCATTTTATTTTCATGGACAATTGAACCACTTTTTTCCTTGATTGATCTACATACATATATAGAGTTACATTGTATACTGGTGTTCCAAAGTAAGTAACACTCAAACTTATAATACTTACTTGTTCGAAACAGGTGCTAGAAGATGATGGAGTAGAAGATCAGGAAGAAGAGATTGAGGATGAGGAAGGTGGGGAAGAAGCACCAGAGGAGGAAGAGGAAGATGACAAAACAGCAATGAGCCGACAAATGCAGATGATCTTGGAGGATATTGATCAGAAGTCATCAGTCAGTGACTCGGGGGATGTTCTCAGATCTTCTGTCAGTGATACTGGTGAAGCAAGGTCCATCATTAGTGACGCTGATCAATCCGCTAGCGAGAATGATGACGTGTTCCCAGGTGGAGACACACAGCAGGCTGTTTTACAGAGTGTCAGGAATGTGTCCTCATCAAACTCTAACTCAAGTCAATCAACTAGAGAGGTGAGTGGACTAGAAGCAATCAATGAAGTTCTTTCTTATATTTTAAAGAAATTGATGAAAATTTTTTTGTGACCATGAAGTTCCTGACAGAAGCGAATTAATCTCAATAACATTAACCTCTCAATTACTTTTTATATGTAGAAGATTAAGACTGAATCGTTTTGTAAAATAGAAGTAAACAAGGTCAATATAAATACAGAAAGCACCCTCATTTCTGTTTTTTCCAATACAGATGGACTAAAAGATAGCATCTATATTTATATATTTTAGGCTGTTCTGAACAGTGTGAAGAACATGGAGAATTCAGATTTGATGGAACATAATTTTCAGGAGGTTGATGATCGCTTTGTCACAAAAGGAAGGGGTAGTGCAAGAAAGAAAAAACGTGTTCAGCATAGGAATTCATTTGGATCTGATTCTAGTTTTACAATATCCACTCCAAGTGAATCGTTGCGATCATCCATAAGTTCTCTTGCTGCAGACATTGAAGTGTTGGAGAATGACGCTGAATCTCCAGACAAAGATATGATTAGAGATTATTGTCTTACACTAAGTCATGCACTTGGAGAAAGCTTTGATGATGATGATGAAAATTTAGGTGATGTTCCTCAAAATTATGAGGATACTCCAAGAACAATTGGTCAAGAAGAGTTTAGTCCACGTGAAAACCTAGACAACACTCTGATTGAAGAAGAAGCTGATGTGAATTCTAATGGCAGAAAGAGCAGTTTCTATGAAACTCCCAATGCCAGTGTTAGAGAGGAACAATATTTCTCTGTCAGTGATCATGAGTCTAGTCTCAAGTCGAATACAACAAGTGCAATATCTAGTCATGGTGTTAGTGATATTTTCAGTAGTGATGCCAGGACTACTAGTACAGACAACAAGATGTCTAGTGCATCAACTCCATCTTCCATATCAGATAATCAAGAACTAACTGATAAAAACAGTAATGTTGTGATCACTGAACCACGTAAATCAGTGGAAGGGAAACTGAACAGTGATGGAACTCCCTGGAGAGCACTACCTCCTCTCCCAACACTGGCCAGCACCTCAAACTTTGAAAAGAGTTCAAGTGAAAAATCAAAGGTTGTGAAGAAAGAGAAATCCACCGACAAAACAGAGGGGATGAGAAAGCTTCCTGACATCTCTAACCTCAAAAGCAATGTTAACCAGCGCGAGTTTCAGAGTAACTTTATGAGGCAGCATCTGGGCTCCCCAAGATCTGAACAGCAGGAGATGGCTTCTCCAACAGGGAAGTCTAGTGAGAGTGATTCTGGCAAAAAGACAAAGATCTCTGTGGATCATGCAAAACTGAAGTCCATGAGTAGTCTAGAGGACAGTTCCAGTCAGGGTGAGGAGAAATCCAAGAAAAAGATTGCAGTCGACTTGCAACTTCGTGAACGAATCAAGACAGAGACTGTGGAAACCAAACCAGGAGTGACTGGAAAAGGCAGCCATATTGATGATATTCCATTTGCAGATGACAGTGATGATGAGCCAGGACAAGAGAAATTTTTCACTCCGGCCACGAGTAAAAAGAGGGAACCAGTCAGAGTGGAGGGTGCTGGGAAGGAGGTGAGAAAGAGGCTGCTTCCAATGCCCCCACAGGAAAGTGTTCAGAACATGCCCAGTATTGACCACATCAAGGAAATCAAGAAGGCTGAAATGGAGAGTGCCAGAGAGAAGGCAAGACAGAGGGCCAGAATGAAGAGTGATGAAGAACTAGGGATAAAGAATGTAGCATACACACCCAAGGTTAAAGGACTGCTGAAGCGTAGTACCTCAAATACACCAAGTACAAGTGACTTCATATCTGACAGTGATGATCCTAGTAAAGTGTTACACTCCACCCCAGTGGAGAAAGCAGAAGTGCCAAAACCAGAAATCAAATCAAGTGGGAAGACAAAAAAGAGTAAAAAGAAGAGCATGGACTTAGATTTGACTCTGTCTGAGAAGTCAGATGGGGACACAAGTAAAGAGAAAGTGAAGAAGAAAAAATCCCTGCTTCAAATATTGAAGCCTGGGAAGGACAAGTCTCCTAAAGAGCTGAAGGACAAACGATCATCCTCCAATGACACTCTGGAAGAAAAAACTCCAAAGAAGAAGAAGAAAACTCCAAAGTCTGACAAGAAAAAGAAGAAAATGATGTCAGAATCGGGACTCGAAAAGTTGGATAAGGATCTGAGTGAATTAAATTTACAGGGTATGAAGGAGAGATTTACTTTAGAGAAGAGACACACACCCACAAGGAGGTATGCTGTAAGGAAGACGATACCACCAAAAGCTGATCGTAAGTAATGATGGGGAATTCAGACATTTATATGATAGCAAAGAATTCAGTTTTACTTCAAAACTGAAGAATCATATCTGTATTCTGTATTTTTGTTGCTTCAAAATACAATATGCTTTAATAATTCCAACTGATGTAATACAATTGGAAGACTATTGTTATAAGGACTTCAAAAGATGTCTAGCTGAGGTGTAATTTACTCAGATTACTCAAGCTTTTGAATGCCTAACTTAGGGCCATTTAACAATGTTTTAAAGAAGAATTATAATTACAATGTATTTTTCAGTTGATGAGTTTTCAGACTCAGATGACAGTAAAATGGACACACTGAAGAAATCAAAGGTAAATGTCGCATTCAATGAATATGACTCCATTTTTCAAAATATGTCACCAAATACATGTACTTGTAAGATCTTTTTAATGACTGTCTTTAAGGATCGTCGCACAATGTCTGAGGATGAACTGAACTATCGTATTGCAAAACGTGTACAATCAGCAGCCAGGAAACACATGAAGCAGCAGGAACAGAAGAGACTGAGAATGGCACAGGAAATCCAACGACAGTTGGAAGAAGTGGATGTCAAACAGAAGGAGCTGGAGGAAAGAGGAGTCATAGTAGAACGGGCACTTAGAGGGGAGGGGCAAGGTAAGAGAATGGGGGGACTCAGGGGGGACTGGCAAGGTAAGAAAATGGGGCACTGAGAGGGGAGGGGCAAGGTAAGAGAAGGGGGCTCTTAGAGGGGAGGGACAAGGTGAGAAAACAGGGGGCTCTTGGAGGGGAGAGGATGGATAAGGATTGTCTTGACATTCATTCCCATCTTTCAGTTTTGAAAAATGACAGGAGAAGGATAATTTTGAACAATTTTTCAATAAAGTCAGGATGAGTTTTTTTCAGTTTGGTGAAGGCATCCTGGTTAAAGTTTTAAAAACATTTCATTTCTAAGTAATAATAATGTCTTAACTTGACCAAACTGGGAAGATTGATACATCAAGGACTTTAATTTACCAGACTTGCTTCGAATGCTGGGTCTGAACTACATTTTCTAGATGAATGACCAGGTTGAATATTACTTACAAGTTACTTAAAGCCCTACCTCATCCAAACTTGCATGGATGATGCATTCTGGAATGAGAATTACCAAACTTGCATTGGATGGTGGATATGACCAACATTTTTCAGATGAGTGAAAAGGTAAAAGTTTTTGGAGCAGGTCCATTTCCAAGTAATAAAAGCCCTGCCTATACGAAACTCCAACTGATGATGCAATTGGGGATGGACACTACCAGTTTGAGGATGGATACTAACAGCTTCAAATGCTTGATCTTACATACAATTTCCAGATGTGTGACCAGTTAAACGTTTTGGAGCAGGTCCATTCTCGGGTAATTATAAGCCCTATCTTGACCAACTTTGCATATATAACGAATCTAGGGATGGACACATGCTTTAGATGTTGATCAGGACTTTCCCAGATGATTGATTGATTGTTTTCTCAGCAACTACTCAGCGCAGATCTTTGAAATTTTAGGACAGTCTTTGTCTAAGCATGCCATATGGTGAGATTCATTTTTGTATGAATGTGATGTCATCATGAGAGTGTATATTCACATCAGAGTGGAAATATTGCTAGTGAGCATTCGCTGACAGACTTCTTGTCGAGATGAGTAACCAGGAGGGCAAGACCATAAACTGAGAATAGACTTAAGTCAAAATTTTGATTTTTAATATCTTGAGTTTTCTTTAATGTATTTGCTTAAAAATTTGCAATTTTATATAACATTTTAATTCAAATATATGATGAAATTTTGTTTCAATATCAAAATTATTTCAAAAGTTATATTGGTTTGAAATTTTGACTTAAGTGTCTGTTCTCAGTTTATGGTCTTGGGGCCAGGTTTAATAACTTTGAGCAGATCTTTTTCCAAGTAACTATTAATCCTATCTTTACCAAAATTCAATGGATGATGCATCTAGGGATTGGCAATACCAGGTTTGCTTCGGATGCTGGATCTGATAGTCTTTTGACAGATGAATGAACAGGTTAAATAATTTTGAGCAGGTCCATTTTCATGTAATTATAAACCTTACCTGGACCAAGTACCTAAAAGCCCCACTTGGACCCATCTTGCATAGATGATGCGTCTAGGGATGACCAATACCAGACTTGCTTCGGATGCTTGATCTGACCTACATTTTCTAGTTGAGTGAACAAGTTAAATTTTTTTTGTGCAGGTCCATTTCAAAGTTATTATTAGCCCTACATTTAGCAAAGTTGCATGGATGATGCACTTAAGGATGGACAATACCAGACTGGTTATTACCTTCTTTTTCCTGATGAGTGACCAGGTTTAAGTTTTTGGAGCAGGTCAATTTCCTAGTATATATAAGCCCTACATGTACCTGGACCAACCTTCCATGGATGATACGTCTAGTGATGTGTCTTTTTTTTAACAGACTAGCATCGCATATCCAGTCTTTCCTACATGTTTTAGCTTTCCTACATATTTAGATGAGTGACCATGGTAATGTTTTATTTGAGTACTTGTAACTTTATGATCTGTTGGGATTAAATTTGCATCGTTGATGCAACTAGGAATGCACACTACCAGACTTGCTTCAGATACTTGATCTGGCCTACATTATTTTTATGAATAACCAGGTTAACGTTTTTGTAGCAGGTCCATTTTCAAGTAACAATTATAAATCCTACTTAAGCAAACTTGTATGAATATTGTTATGGGCAGGAACACTAATTGCAATAATAAAATTGGTGTGAGATTTTCATCACATAAAGGTAACATTCGATGAGGTCAGGTTTGTATTCTTTGATTATCTATTAGTAAATGTAGATGTTTTTTTTCTTTTTTCTGTAGATGCTGGTCGAGAGGAATCTGAACTAATGCAGGAATGGTTCACTCTGGTGTATGAGAAGAATGCTCTTGTCAGATACGAGTCAGAGCTCATGGTCAAGTATGTTCTGCACATATTCTCAATAAGATTGCTAGCTTGATATTAAATTCTAGTATAGGGCATGTCTGACATTCAGAAATGATTAAAATACCACTGTTTTATTTGTACTATGGTATGTACACTACTAGTGTAGAGAATCAATAACCTGTAGACAAAATAAGCAATTTTTATTTCTTTTGTTATGTAATTCTCTCTCTCTTTCATACTTCAGTGCCCAGTACATGGAGCTGGAGGACAGACATGGCCGTTTGGAGCAGGAACTCAGAGAGAAGATGTCTGTAGACAGTAAGTGTTGAAGACTTCTGAATGATTTCCATCCCCATCTCCCCAAATATGGCCTCTGTAGGTCTGTAACATGTGGACATAACTGACTCCAAATCGTATGTTACTAATTAAAATGAAATTCATTTAGATTAAGGCATGCTCGAAAAATTGTTCATAGGAATAGACAGATGCTTGGAATGAATTTTAATGCATAATCCTATGGGAATATTAGGTAGCTTTTTGGTGAGCATCTATGAATATGAACATGTAGATAACTTTGTGTGAAACCAACTTAGATTCCATTATAAATGACTTTGACCTGCATTTTGATGCTTCAGATGATGGTGATAGTGATGAAGAAATGTCTCTATCTGAGCTCCTCAAAATCTATTGCAATACTTATGGTATTATATTCAATTACCCTCTGATGGATCCCCAAATATCAGATTATCCTTTCTACTTCCAAGTCATGACAAAATTCCTCCAACAAAACCCCCACAAACTTATCATCACTTTCCCCGTGTCATTCACTAGTGACTTTAACTTTGTGAACTGCCAATTTATTATGTTGCTTTTGGATTTCCTGGATGGCAGTTGTTGATATGACTTTTCCCTTTATTTTGCCTTATTATCAAATCCTCTGACAAAAGCTTACATTAAATCCTCGCTTTTATGAAAGGCATTTCCCTAATACTAAAATCAATAATATTTTAATTTGTTCTTTTTGAAGTAATTGTATTTTTGAATTATTAAATTGACATTATCAGTTAGTTAAGAACTATCATATATTCTTACCTGATGCCTTAAAAGTTGTACTTGTATACAAATAAGTTTGTGGTTTTAGACATTAGATTTAAGCCTGAATAGCTGATTTATAATTTGTGTCATGTGATTTAGGTACATTGACACATAGTGGCAAACTGAAGAACTTGTCAGAACTTCTCAGAACTAGCTCTAGACATAGTATATCATTATGTGACGTAATGTTGTGTGGCTTATCAGAGACTCTTGCACAGATTTTGGCTAAACTCTTTTTTTTTATAGAGCTATGTTTGCAAAGTACTTTACTTTCATTTGATTCTTCTATTCAAATGAAGATAAGTTATTGTTAATGTTACTAATATTCATTAAACTCTTTAAAATAATTTCTCCAATATTGTCTAATGAAAATGTAGGAAAGTAAATTTAAAGTAGGGTGTTACTTTTGGTAGACATAATTTATGTCAAAATGCTTTGACTATTTTTCATAGAATCAGTATGAAAAGTGAAACTAATTTTTGAAAGTAAAAAAATAAATCACCATTTTTGAAAGTAGTTTTTATGAAGCATGAACACAGGTATTCTTAATTTATTTGTGGCATTTGTCTTTATCAAATCATTTTCAGATATGTTTGGTGTGAGGCAGGGAAATCCACTGTTCTCTCTGTTGATTACTTATTTGGACAATACAGAACATACACTGTAATAGGTGTCGGGATATTGAAGGCTTCACGCTTCACTTCGAATATCAAATAATAGTTTCCAAACATAATATTCACTCTCTTTTCTTAAAGGATATTGATTCATTTCTTATAAAATTAATTTTTTTTCTTTGAAATAGTATAATAAAAATAAAAATGCCATGTAAGTTTTGTCACATGCAAAAGAATAAAATTTATAACTTTCGGAATTTTTTTATTTCTTAAAAAACACAATTTTTATGGTAGCACAGTTGTTAAAATTTTGAAGAAAATAATTTTTTAAAATCTGTTTTGCTTCATGATCTTGACTTATGAAACACAGGCAGCAAACAATGTAAAATTAAATCATTGGCTTCATAACTGATCACTAATTGAATACATGATTTTCTGATTGTAGAATTAAAATCAGTTAAATGAATTTTAAACAATTTTAGTATTTGATTTTAAATTTGGTAAGTAGATTTTACTATGACATACTTAAAACTTTTCTAATGGTATAAAATAGTACTTCATTTTACCTGTCTCGGCATGTTTTTCTTCTATTGATTATTTATTTTTCTTGCATTTTTATTTGTGTTACTGCTTTTTTATGGTAGAGAATGGCATGCTTTTTTAAAACTCCCTTTGTAACTAAACCTTTACCAGATTCTGAGAAAACTCCAGCACAAGCGGCTGAAGAAAAGCGAATCCTCGATGAACTTCTGGAGGTCGTCGAGGAAAGGGATAAATTAGTAGCTATGTTAGAGGAAGAAAGAGTCAGGTAAGGTTAATTGGTTACATGGAAAGAGAAGGATCATGTCCATTGTCATCAAATTAAAAACCTGAAGTATGGATAGGTAAAGTAAGAAGATCTTTCTAAAGAATTTGATACAGGATTAGTGTATGTCTGATTTCATTATTTAATTTGCTTATTTTGCTCTTTTGTTTTTTAAAGTGAAATATTTTATAAATAATTATCCTTCTTTGATAACATGTCTAAGAGAAAGTTGGCTGGTAAGAACTTTTCATGTCAGTTACGCATATCATATAAATTTTAATTTTTCTTTACAAAAATGTTTTTAAAGACTTAAATGAGAAACCCCAATATCTAAATATTTAATATTTCAGTATCAATTTAATCCATTTTAACTAGGAAACTCTCACATGTAATGATAAAACTTACATGTAGCTTGTACATGATGTATTGCCTACATGTATATATGATATTTAATGTATTAGATCCTGTGTTTCTGTCTTAAATACATTTAATATAAGCAATTTGATTTGATTAAAGCTACTGTAGTTTTTTGTTATATATACATATAAAGCAAAAAAATCACATGTTGACCCTCTCTACTAGCTTAGAGGGACATGTCATGTTTGTATACTTCAAACAGAATATTGTTATTCATTACTTTATTAATTTTGTTTTCTTTATCCTGTTTTCAGAGAGCGAGAAGAAGACCGAGACTTAGAGGCCATCATGAACGCCAAGGGGTACAGCCTCGCCCCCACAGACTACGCCCAGAAAATCAAATTCTCCTCCAAAGTCTTCCCCCTCTCCTGCTAGAATCACCCTTATGACTGTCAGAATCACCTTCATGTTGTGTCATCTGATAGAGTACATCCATATATCCAGTAGTATGCCTCAAATTCTGCTTTCTTAAAGCTGCCTAGTTTTACCCTAACCTTGGGCACCAATCAAATTATGTTGTCACTTGACTGGTGTAGACATGACATCTAATTAACATAAAAGATTTTGATAAAGCCCTGTCCTCTGAGAGGATAATAATGGCCACTGATCACAAAGTGATGTTTTTTTTTCTATGATCCCATCAAATTGCTGTCAGTTTCATTAAAAATTGAAAGATTAAGTACATTATTAATAATAGTATGTCTACATGTGTGATGTATTGTTGACTGTCAAGAGATACAGTGTGTGTTATACATATTTTATTTTCATTTCAGCATTATAGTTTTCAATGCCATTTTGAGAGGTATAATTAAGTGTGGACTTGCAATGCTTAATGTGAAGTCATATTGATATTATATAAATCGTATTATCTTTTATGGATATAACGTTCATGGTTTCATGACTAGCAGTATATCATTGGTTTAATACAGTTTTATTAAATTTTTATGTGATCCATTATGATCTTTTGTCTATGACTGTGAATTTTTTGTTTGTTTGATATATATTACTTGAGATCTTTTAATAAATTATTAATTTGATATTAAATTATTGCTGATGTATTTAAATATGTATCATGTATTATCAAACAACCAATAAGACATTTTTACAGTTATAGAAGTTTGTAAATAAGAAGTGTAAATTAAGTTGTTGAACAATCAAACATGTTTACTGTCTCGGAAACATAGTGTACTGTTACCATGGTGATGGAGTAGGCCAGTTATAGAAAAATATAGCAGTTATAGAAAAATATGGAAAACTGAATCTCTTTTGTCCACTAGTCAAAGGTCTCCTCTATGAAATAAATCTGATTCTCATGAATTTAATGAAACAGTTACCCTTACAATTATATCTTTAAATTTGCTAGGTTCATAATAGGGATAGATTTTAATGAGACAGTCAACAGAACAGTAGCTTATGGACAGTTTAAATATTGTACTGCTCTTCAATATCTAAAATTCACATTCACAATTTTCTGTTATTTTACACAAATATATTCAATAGTTTGCATAATGTTACAACCTTTTCACAATTTTTTGATTTACATGTACTATATATTAATAAGTAATTACATGAATGTCATTATAAAACAATGGTCAGAATTATCTTTTGGTTTGAAATGACCTCCATGTCAAAATTTAAAAATTCTTATATCAAACTGTCATGGAGTGTGTAATATATCCTTACTGGATTTAGAATAATGTTAAAAAACATCATACATACTTCCACCCACCTCACAAGTAGCAAAAGAATCAAATACTTCATTCATTAATGACACAGCAAAGTTTAATGAATATTATTTAACTTATAATTATCATTAATTTTGCTAAGAATGTACTTGAATCCTTAGGTGCTAAAAATCATTTATTTTTATTGCTTTAAAAGTGCTGGCATACGATGTCCATTACATGCATTATCTCAAAAAAGCACTTAATGGAAACATACATCTATATATAAAACACTTGAAAGAAGAAGACAAGTCAATATGTAATGTACATGTAGATTTTAAATGATAAAATCTTAAAATTTGTCTTAGCAACAAAATCAAGGAAAATACATTCATTTTTAAACTTATTCATGTAATTGTTTAGCTACATTTGGAAGATTTGTAGGTTAAAGAGGTGCGGTCACTTTATTACATTTAGTTATTTTAAATGTCTTAGATTTGGTATATAATGATATTATTTTATAAATGGATGTGTGTTAGGGCAAAGGGTTCTATATATGTAGTTGTTTAACAATTTTTTTGTTCTGTGAAGTCAAGTTTTTTGGAAGAAAACGATTGTCAGCACAACAACTTGGAGTAGAATTTGGATTAAAATTTTCATTAAAACAACCACAAATTATTAGGAACAAGTTATGTGTATATGTTTATGTATAATGAAAGGTTATTTATGAGATCAAATAGTATGATAGCTGTCTGTTAAAAGTTTTAATTGTGTTGGGAAATCCTTGTTTTGACACTGGTATTATCCAATCCCGTTCTTTGACTGTTTATTTATTTTATTTTTTTTTTTTGCGTAAAATATGTAGACTACTTACATGTAATTGTGGCACTTGAACTTTCCTATATATAGCTCTTTATTGTTTACGTTGTCAATGTCAGAATCTTTGATCAATTGTTTTGGCCAGCTTTGGACTCTTAACGTTATCTCTCATTTATCTGCTTTTTTACATGAAAAAAATGGTTAAATATTCAATACTTGGGAAATATGCACAGCCATGAGTTTTGAAAATTGAATTAAAGTAAACGTTTCAGAATGTTGAGAGCAAATTTTATCTGACCATTCTTTATGGGTACAAGCAACATTAGATGAATGGCCGAGATAAATCTGATTGAAAAATATAATTGAAGCAATATTTTATGAAATCTTTTCAGGATTGTGTATTATTATTTTTTTCTAATTGACAAAATATCATTCCAGATTCTTAACATCAATGTAGGTAATTTTTATTTCAGAATAAAAACGTTATGAATATAAATATTTACATTTTTTCTCTACATAAAGAAAAATCTTGAGGCAATGCAAATGAACAAATAAGGTTTCGTTGCAGTAAAAAATTCTTTATTGAAATTTTATTTTCTGGTTGTATTTCATTTTTATTTCTAATGTCAGGGTTGTGAAAGTGTTTATTTATTAAGTCAGTATTTTAAATATTGGTTTTTTTCTAAACAGATCAAATGGCAAATACATACGTATTTAGGTTCAGTTCTTGCTTGAAATCCATAAGCTGACAGTTAGAGATTTTTGTTGATGTTGTGTTATATTTAAATTAATCATATTCTCTGTGCTTTATGATATAGCTGACCCCTGCAATGTCTTCAGTTTAAAATGTAAACCTTGTTGAGCTGGGTGTTTTGTTTAGTGAAACAGTGTGTGCAGATAATATGAGCAGAAAGAATAAATGCTGATTGCTATACATACTGTTCATTTTTCTTTTTAGGAAAATACCGGTATTTTAACAATTTACAATTCTTTTTGTCCTTTTCTTATTTCTTTTTTAGCTCACCTGAGCCAAAGGCTCAAGTGAGCTTTTCTGATCAAAATTTGTCCGTTGTCTGTCGTCGTTGTTGTCGTTGTCGTTGGCGTTGTCGTTGTCGGCGTTGTTGTTGTTGTTGTAAACTTTTCACATTTTCATCTTCTTCTCGAGAACCACTGGGCCAAATTCAACCAAACTTGCCACAAAGCATCCTTGGGTAAAGGGGATTCAAGTTTGTTCAAATGAAGGGCCAAGCCCTCTTTCAAGGGGAGATGATTAGGAATTAGTGAAAAAATAACGGCATCATTTAAAAATCTTCTTCTCAAGAACCACTGGGCCAGGAAAGATGAAACTTATGTGGAAACATCCTCAGGTAGTGTAGATTCAAGTTTGTTCAAATCATGGCCCCCGGGGATAGGGTGGGGCCACAATGGGGGATCCAAGTTTTACATAGAAATATATAGGAAAATATCTTTAAAAATCTTCTTCTTAAGAACAGTAAAGCCAAGATTGGTCATATTTATATGGAAACATCCTCAGGTAGTGTAGATTCAAGTTTGTTCAAATCATGACCCCCGGGGGTAGGGTGGGGCCACAATGGGGGATCCAAGTTTTACATAGAAATATATAGAAAAAAACCTTTAAAAATCTTCTTCTTAAGAACAGCAAAGCCATGATTGGTCATATTTTTGTGGAAGCATCCTCAGGTAGTGTAGATTCAAGTTTGTTCAAATCATGACCCCCGGGGGTAGGGTGGGGCCACAATGGGGGATCCAAGTTTTACATAGAAATATATAGGAAAATATCTCTAAAAATCTTCTTCTTAAAAACAGTAAAGCCATGATTGGTCATATTTATATGGAAGCATCCTCAGATAGTGAAGATTCAAATTTGTTCAAATCATAACCCCCGGGGGTAGGGTGGGGCCACAATGGGGGATCAAAGTTTTACATAGAAATATATAGGAAAATATCTCTAAAAACAGTAAAGCCATGATTGGTCATATTTATATGGAAGCATCCTCAGGTAGTGAAGATTCAAATTTGTTCAAATAATAACCCCCGGGGGTAGGGTGGGGCCACAAGGGGGGATCCAACATAGAAATATATAGGAAAATATCTTTAAAAATCTTCTTCTTAAGAACAGTAAAGCCATGATTGGTCATATTTATATGGAAGCATCCTCAGATAGTGAAGATTCAAGTTTGTTCAAATCATTACCCCGGGGATAGGTTGGGGCCACAATGGGTGATCAAAGTTTACAGAGGAATATATAGGAAAAAGTCTTTTTCTCAAGAACAGAAAAGCCATGATTAGTCAAATTGATATGGAGGCATCTTTCGGTAGTGTAGAATGAAATTTGTTCAAATGAGGGCCCCTGGGGGTAGGGTGGGGCCACAATGAGGGATCAAATTTTTACAAATGAATATATGGGAAAAAAATCTGCTGCTCAAGAACAACAAAGATATTTGGTATATTGATATGAAAGCATCATCAGGTAGTTTAAAATTCAACACCCCCCTCCCTGAAGACTTTTCAATACTGTACTGATTTTTGCTTTTTTTCCTAGCCAATGTGCTCAGGTGAGCGATGTGGCCCATGGGCCTCTTGTCTTCATTTTGGGTGAGTTGGCGTCAAACAATAATCAGTCAATCAATTGAGCAATCAATGTCTTCATTGAAGGCAAATGTGCTCAAGTTTGCTAATGTTTAAGGTCTGACCCAGATGATTTAATGTACAGTTATCAGATTAGGATATCTCCGTATTACCGAAAGACTATCATATGTAAAAGGACATTAAAAATTTAATTCAATTTCATCTTCCATAAGTGCATCCCTCTAACAAAAGTCCATGCGTGACACAAAGGACAATATTCACATTTAGAATGTATAAAGCTTAAAAACAGTACTGATTACAGGGGGTCATTGGTTGCAAGGCTTTGTTAAAAGGCGTTAACAAAGGTGATCTTAAGCACTGGCCCAGACAGAGTGTTCCAGTACTCGGTAGCTCTGAAGAAGAGTAAGTACTGGTGTGTTTGTAACCGGTTCTTAGGTTTTTTTATAGAAAAAACAACAAGTTAGTTTCGGGTGTGGATCCAATGTTTATATATGAGTTTGGAACATTGTGATGATTAGGATCATGATTAGGATACTTAGGATGATTAGGACCAACCCTACAATAATAACAACATATGAACACACACATATATACACAGAACAATACAAAGACAATACAAACAGACAAACGCATCTTTAACAGCTGTTTAACACAAAATTATCTCTTACGTCACTACCATTAAATATTTAAAATGATTAGGTCGTATATCGCTCAGTTAATTAGCTCTTTGAACCATTATACGTCTTTTAATCCTAATTTATACCAGTTTACCAGTTTATTAGTATCTCTTTGGTTGTTATTTAACAACATAGAGATCAAAGCAACATATTACAATTATAACAACATACATGCGTGAGCAAAACATGTAACATATATACAAAATGTGTTTATAATTGCATCATATTTCTATATATATATATATAGATGTTATTAACCAGGAGGTTTGACTCTCTCGTTTACAATTTTTATAAACGAACAAAGTTTACTTAATAGCTTAACATTTTTGAAAGAGAACAATTCATTAAACTTGATGACATTTGGACTTGTAACATAATATTTGGGAATATACAATTTTCTTTCATCTTTTAACTTGTTACAGCATAAAATATAGTGAAATTCGTCACCTACATCATTTTCACATAAAAGACATATTCTATTATCTCTTTCAGTACCTTCCCATCTTCCCGTTTCAATCGGTAGTTTATGATTTGATGTTCTGAATTTGTTTCTTATGATTACTTAAAATAAGACGCTATCTACATAAAATTGGCATCCAAATTTTGAATTTGTAAATAGATTATATATCACACCTTTTGAAGAATTATTGCAGTTTGATTCCCAATTTTGTTGAAACTGATCTAGTAATTTTTGTTTCAAACTTTTAATTAGCCAAGTACTATTGAATAATTGGTTCTGATTCCATACTATTGAATAATTGGTTCTGATTCCATATATTACTGTATCCACAATCGTCTAAAATTGATTTCAAATTCTTTAACCATTTACATTCATTTCCATTGTCAAATTTAGCACGAAGTAATTTGTACATTAAATTGCAATATTTTGATTGTTTTCCACTTAAAATTTTTGACCAGTATGCAATAATTCTTGTTTTGATATGTACAGTTAAAGGTACTCTCCATAATTCACCATATATCATAAAATTGGGAGTACTTGGTTTTAAATGAAAAAGCATTTTACAGAATTTTAGGTGTACTCTTTCTATAATTTCAACATTACCATAACCCCATACTTCACAGCCATATAACAAAATTGGAACAACAATCTTATCAAACAAATACAATTGATCATCAAGAGAGAGGTGTAATTGATTACCTTTTTTCAAAATACCATACATAGCTTTAGTCGCTCTTTCAATAGCATATTGTTTTGTCTTAATAAATGAACCAGTTGATGAGAATATAACTCCAAGATATTTAAAATGTTTGACAATTTCAATTTCATTGTTATTGTAATAAAAACATTCTGTGGTGTACGTCCCTTTGAAAAAATCATTATTTTTGTTTTTTTCAATATTAACCTCAAGTTTCCATTTTTCACAATACAATGAGAAACTGTGCAATTGATTCTGTAAATCTTCAGGTGATTCGGCGAGTAAAACTGTATCGTCTGCATACAAAATAACCAACATCTTTAACAAAATACCAAATTCTTGTTCAATCTCATATGATATTGTTGAGACTCCAATATTATTATGTGTAATTAAAAAAGATTCTACATCATTTAGGAATAAAGCAAATAAAAATGGCGATAGGTTTTCCCCTTGTCTTACCCCTATTTTGCATGGAAAGTATTCAGTAACCATATCATTTACAACTATTCTCGATTTACTTTCAGAGTACATTTTCACTATCACATTAAAACATTTTCCAGTAATATCATTTTGAATAAGTTTTTGCCATAGTCCTATTCTCCATACATTGTCAAAAGCAGCCTTAAAATCTATAAATGCACAATACATTTTCTTTTTCAGTAAGAAGGATAATTAAGGTCTTCCGTCACAACGGAAGACCTTCTACTGATTCTGAGGGTTAAGATTATTATTCTTTTTTTTTCTTCTCCTTTCTAGACGCCAACTTTGAGGCCTCATATCTCGCTCATTTCTCAACGGATTTTGCTCAAATTTGCAGGGTTTATAGACGTTACAAAACTCTATCAGAATGCTGTCAAACATGTCAAAAATCCACTTCCGCTTTTGGGTTATCTCCCTTTAAATGAAAATTTAGGACTCTTCATTTCCGGATAAAGGCTCCGAGACTACAAAAGCTGGAGTAGAAATTCTACCGAATTTAAATAATAGAAGCATTGAAATTGTGCACATCTATTTTTGTTTTTTGATTTCTGTGTTCAAAATGGCGCTAGATAGGGGTCAAAAATTAGAACGCCTAAAAACGCGAAAATTTACACATATTTTCCTATGTATCTTTTAAACTAAAAATATTTTGTTAAGACATGTAGAATAAAAGTTGTGCACAATTTTAAGGTCTTTCATTTGGCACCTCCAAAAAGGGGCTGGTCCCTTAAATTAGGGATCTAGGGTCCTTGAAAGTTTTCGTTTTATAACTCAAAAACGGTAAATATTTCGATATAGCTGTCGCTAAAAAGTTGTTCTTTAACATATTGATCTCGTGAACTTGTTATTTTGTTCGAGTCTTTTTTAATAAATGAGCTAGAAGCTTGACCCATATACAGGTAACTAGTTTCATTAGACAAGTGAAGGTGAAATCTTTATGCGCATAACTGAAATAAACTTGCTATAAATGATAAACCTATCCAAAATAAATACTAATACTACTTTAAAAT